TAGACCGATCATCATTAATCAGTTGTTAAATAAAATAATGTATCTGGGTTACTATGGAAGATGTATCAGATATAATAAAATGATTTCATTCATTCCACTATTATTTGTTGAGAGACTATTATTCTTTGAAAAGAGAGAATAAAGTATTAAACCAGAAAGATAAAGTATTTCTACTCATGGAATTTACATTCCAGTAGGGAGACACAGATAAAACATAAGTAAATACACTTTTTAAAAAGAATATATTTTAAGATGGCTATGAATATTATACAGAAAACAAAAGTAAATTTAGGATAGTCAGCTTGCTTAGGACTTAACCCTTGAGCTGGGACCTTAGTGAGCATCCCAAGAAGAGGGAATTTGAAATAAGAAGTTTCTAAAGTGGAAATGAGCTTAAGGTGTTTGAGGAACAGAAAGGCCCTGTGGCCAGAGGTAGTGAGGGCGAGAGGGGAGGTTAGGCAGGGGGGTAGCCAGGCTCGCCTTCCCCCTCTAGGGAGCTGTGATACGTAGGCTGGCTATTGTTACCCCCCGGTGCAGTAGTCCGCTTTTGAAGGGTTTAAATTGTTGGGATGATGTAGTTAAAAACAAAATCTCCTCCCAACCTAGAAACCTTTCCATAAAGGTAGAAGAGAAAAAAAAATCAATTTTATTATTGACCAAGTCACTTCACAGGCAATCTGCTAAAGAGATTGCATAGACCGAGAGCTAAGTATAGCTGAGTGGAAGCCAGCTATGACTTAGTTTGTTTGCCAATTGTTTTGCAATTTGGAATCAGGTGATCGGTTAGATCGGTCTGATCCAGGAAACTGGGAGATCAGGCATTATCGTCTCTGATGACTCCATTTCAAAGAGAGGAAGACCAGAACAAGACCATGGTGGATTGGTCTAGGGCGGTGGCAATAGAAATGTAGAGGAAAGAATGGATAAGGTATATGGTTCTTCATAGTCAGGGTTCTCCAAAGAAATAGAACCAATATGGGGTGTGTGTGTGTGTGTGTGTCTATATATCTGTCTATCTGTCTATCTATCTATCTATCTATCTATCTGTCTATCTATCATCTATCTATCTTTCAAGAGATAGTTATTTTAAGAAATCGGCTTGTGTAGTCATGGAGCCACGTTATTCCAAAATCTACAGGGATAGACTGACATGCTGAAAACTTAGGAAAGGGTTGATATTTCAGTTCAAGTCCAAAGGCAGTCTAGCAGTTGAATTTCCTCGTCTTCAGGAACATCAGTCTGTTTTCTCTGAAGGCCTTCAACTGATTGGATGAGACCCACCCACAGTATGGAGGATAATTTGTTTTACTTAAACTCTACTGATTTAAATGTTAATCTTATCTTTAAAAAAAGAAAACCTTAACAGCAACATCTAGACTAGAGTTGGACCAAAAATTTGTGTACTGTGACCTAGCCAAGTTAACACATAAAATTAACACAGTACATTTGGGGGAAGAGCTAATAGAGTCTGCTTTTGTCCTAGAAAATAAAGGAAAACTGAGAATCCAGGATGACTCCTAGGTTTTTGGCTTATGGATCTGGGTAGATGATGGTACCATTAATAAGGAAGAGAAGATTGAATCTTTGTGTGTTAAATACCATCACATATATAGTAAAATTAAGACAATACTATGCATAAAAATTAAGTACGTGAAGTAAAAGTCAAATAAGTATAAAAACCTCTGAAAGAGGAACATTATTTGTGCATAAAGACTTTCAAGCACCTTTTCCTTAAATGGTTGTTTACCATCTACCAACTGGTAGGTTGACTGAATTCAGGTGGTTAGTAAGGGTTGGGTGCTTGACAATACAATCAAATGACTGAAGTATGAGGTGATGTTTTTATAATTTTTTTTTATCCTCACCTGAGGACAGTCTTGCATTTATTTTCAGATAGAGTGGGAGGGAGAGAGGGAGGAAAAGAGAGAGAGAAACATTGATGTGAGAGAGACACACTGAGTGGCTGCCACCCACAGTACCCCAACCGGGGCTGGGGACAAACTGCAATCGGGGTTACGTGCCCTTAGTGGGAACAGAACCTGGGTCTCTCTGGTCCACGGGCCAATGCTCTAACTGCTGAGCCAAACTGGCCAGGGCGATATATTTATTATTGATGTTGTTACTGAGCAAACCTCTCTGAAAAGTGGGAGATAAGTCTAGATAGGAAAACAATAGGTGGAACAAGCACAGATTAAATGTAAAGGCAGCCTCGTTTTACATTTGTGTGCGCTAAATTATCATAGTAATTGTTTGTTTGTTTTTTAACTTTTGTTTTCTGATTCCCGTGTTTTATGGTGAACCAAACACCATATTATTAAAAAATTAATTTTATTGCCAGTGCAGGAAGGTACTCATTTTGTCATGCTAGGACAGCAATTAACTGGTGTATCTCAAGAATTTTTAGAAACATGCAATACCTGACTATTTAGTCAGGAGCACTGACCTCTTTTCCCTTAGATTGTCAAATTAAAAAATGCCAACAGCTCAGCCAGTATGGCTCGGTTGGTTGAACATCATCCCATGCACCAGGAAGTCACTGGTTCGATTCCCTGTCAGGCACAATCCTAGGTTGCAGGATCCCCAGTAGGGATGTGCAGGAGGTAGCTGATCAATATTTCTCTCATCAATGCTTCTATCTCTCCTTCTCCCTTCCTCTCTCTGAAATCAATAAAAACATATTTTTTTAAAAAATGGCAATACCCAAGAGAACAATATCTATCCAGTGTGAATTCCCTGTCTTGAACCATAAATATATAGGCCATATAATAGAGTTGCATCTTATCAGTCATGTTGCATAATAAGGTTGCGTCTGATTAGTTAATGCTTGATACTAGAAATCCTTATATAGTATAGGCACCTGATTTTTCTAAAAGTCACTTTGGAGCAAAAAGGGTAGATGATTACTGTTATTATTTGTGTGTGTGTGTGTGTGTGTGTGTGTGTGTATCATCAAAATTATGCCTAATTTTTGTCAAACCAGCAAAGACAATTGTTTTGCTGGTGCGTTAGAATTTTAGTAATTAGTTTGTGTGTGCCAGGAGATGAAATGGTTGAAACTTGCTGGGCTAGGACATGGGATGCAACACAATGAGATCAAGCCGGGCAGTTCAGCCAGATGGGAGGAGCCTGAGCCTGGCATGGCATGCTGGGATGACAGATACCAGTTCGAAGGAAGCATACAGAAGCAGATGTTCTGAATGCAATCTGTGTTGAATCCTGATGATAAGAAATCGGATTAGCAGAAATGGGGAACCCATCCCGGGAAGCAGCACCGAGTGGGGAACCCAGACAAGATGGAGGCAGGAGGTCTCTAACGAGTGTGGGACCAGAGCAGGTTTAGGAGTGTGCAGGAGAGGATAGTGTTGAGGCAAAGATCCGTTATAAGGTCTAGTCGGTGGCCCAACAGCTGACCTCAGAGTGTAAGTGGTGGGTGTTAACTTCAGAGGGATGTTGAGGACAATAAATAAAATATGGCTGATAAAGTGCTTTGTAAACAGTGAAGGAATCTGCTAGTGGGACTATTATTACTTTGTTATATTTCACAGGGTGATTTGATTTAAAATAAGGAATTCCTTTGGTTGGATTCTCAAGAATCTGCAATACTACCAGTTCATTTTGAAAGAACCATTGAAATACAAGGAATTTTGAAAAACTTCACAAGAAGTACTTAATTTATATTTATGGCCCCAAATTAAAATAGTGTCTTTCATTGGTCTATTCTTAAAAAAATAAACAACAACAAAGAACATTTACATAAATTCAATCTTGATTTAAGGACAAAAATATGCTTAGCAGATCCTTTTTATTTGTATGGTTTTTTTTGGCAAGGGGAAGTTGATTTTTGCTGGACAACACATAAATATTATAAGCATAAACCATCTATATATATTTAAATTGACAGCCCCAAATCACAAGCATAAGAAAGTTATTTGGACAGTTAGTCTTAAAATATTACCTTAAATGATATAAAAAACAAATTATTATACTTTAAAACACATTGTTGTATCTTTTTATTGCACAAAGGTGAGAATGAGTATTCCAATGAATCAAAGCTAAAATTATATACGGGTACTAACTTATCTCTAGATGGTAAGTCTCTAAGTTACTCTGGAAGGGAAAATAAAACAAAAATGTCTCTAGGTACCCAGAAAGCACTTAGTTCAAAAATTTGCTGGACATAAAATGAAGGTAAAATTTCCTAAAATAAAATAATAATAACAATAATAATAATTATTATTATTTCAAATATGTTTCTATTGATTTTAGAGAGCGAGGAAAGGAGAGGGGGAGAGAGATAGAAACACGCATCACTGCTCCTGCATGTCCCCCACTAGGGATTGAGGCCACAACATGGACGTGCCCTGACCGGGAATCGAACTGGCGACCTCCTGGGGCATGGGACGACGTTCAGCCAACTGAGCCCCACCAGCCAGGCTAAAATAAAATTATTTTTTAAGTTATGAAAAACCTCCCTAAAGTTACAATTCAAATAATTATGTATAAGTTTCATCTATCTCAAAGAGGGTAGGGTGAGTCAGACTTCAGAATTCTATTCCAGTATATATATATATATATATATATATATATATATATATACACACACACACACACACACACACACACACATTCAATTTTATAGCTTATGGTATTCGTATCCAGATGTTCTTTTCTCTGATGTGTATTGTTATTTCTTTTCCTATTACCTACTGTTTGTTTACTCCATTACAATCAGTGTGCGTTTAAGGCAGGCCTTTTCCCAGTGTTCCTTAGAATGGATGATTACCAGCAGCCATGGACTCTCTCAGTCCAGTCTCTTTCCAGCCTCAGGGGTCCCCCAGAGGGTGCTGAGGTGGCTCAGGCAGAGCCAACTGCACCCCTCTTCCTGTGATCATAGATCTTTGGAGAAATGGAAATGTTGGGAACTTTTGACCTAAAATATTGTCTTTGTCACTGTACCCATTTAAACATCATTCCTTCCCTCCCCTTCTTCTTTTTAACAGACACTAGGCATTTTTTGATATATAATGAAGACCACAAGCGCTGCGTGGAGGCAGTCAGCCCCAGTGCGGTCCAGACAGCAGTTTGCAACCGGGACACGGAAGCACAGAGATTCCGCTGGGTGTCTGAATCCCAGATTATGAGTGTTGCCTTTAAATTATGCTTGGGGGTGCCATCAAAAACGGATTGGGTTGCTGTCACTCTCTATGCCTGTGACTCGAAAAGTGAATTTCAGAAGTGGGAGTGCAAAAATGACACACTTTTGGGGATCGAGGGAGAAGATTTATATTTTAACTATGGCAATAAACAAGAAAAGAACATTATGCTTTACAAAGGATCCGGTTTATGGAGCAGATGGAAGATCTATGGGACCACAGATGATTTATGTTCAAGAGGTTATGAAGGTAAGAGGCATAAAATGTTTTACCTTTCTGTGAATTTTTTTTTTTCATCTTCTTAGTTGGAAACGAATTCAAGAAAATAAGCACATTCTTGTTTAGTCTCCACTAGAAATATTAATGGATTATTACCTTTGCGTTTTGAACTAGTCCATGTTCTGTGAGAACATGACAGTGAGTAAATTTGGTAAAAAGTCCTCTGTGATACTTTAGCTATTTGTAATTAATGGGAAGGTACTTTTTAAAACTTTAGCTGATTTTTTTTTTTTTTTTTTGCTTTAAAGATGTTTTATTGATTTTAGAGAGAGAGGATGGGAGAAGGAGAAAGAGAAAAAAACATTGATGTGAGAGGTAAACATTGATCAGCTGTCTCCTGCATGCCCCCTACTGGGGGCTGGACCCCAAACACAGGCCTGTGCCCTGACCAGGCATCCAACTGGTACCCTAGCAGTGCCTAGGACCACGACCAACCAACTGAGCCTCTCTGGCCAGGGCTGACTAAGATTTTTATTTTTAAACTATGGGTTATAATTTTTAGAAATTAATTTTCATTGTCATCTTTGACATTATATAGTTGTAGTGATAAATTAATTTAGCAATGTTTCTTTTCCTTTGGTTTAAGTTATCCCTGAACAAATGACCCTGGAGAAATGACCCATGGAAACCAAATCTTTACCAAGTCAGATTACCTAAAATGAAACCTTGGCATTCCTCGACAGTTTGGCTTTCAAAGTATTTCTGATTAGTCACCTTATGTGTATTTACAGACTATAATAATCAGAGGATATGAAAAGCTGGGGTATTAATTTGTAAGGTAACATGCAGCACATCCAGTCAGCTATTTTATGAAGTAGTAGCACCAATCGGGCAGGAAATAATTTTATATGTAGTTGGTTCCTTAAACTCTTGAGGATTAAATAAAAATCACAGCATTTAGTCTTCTCTAGGCCAAATTTCATTCTCTGGTGTACAGAAAAAACAAGACTAAACAGAAATAAAAAGGAACGTGAGCCCTTTAGCAAGGTTTCCGGAGTGAGATGGTGTTAAACTTCATTCCAGGTTTGGACACTTGGTTATTGTGAAGTGTTATCAAGAAAGACCTCAGGATCAGAGAAAATGCTTGCCTTTTGGGACAAGAGATAACCTGTTTCCAAAATTACTAAATTACTTGAGGCTACAAAGTTGAATCGAGCTATTGTCACTAAGCAAAGCAGAGGAATTCCGATCTTTGTAAGGTGATAATTTATCAGCTTTCCATTTTCCTCCTATATAAAAGAGGGAGAGTAGAAAATGGAGAAAGAGAAGAAGGGTTCAGAAAGAAGTTATCCCAAGGCATTTATTGAACACAATGTAGGTTTAGAAATTACGTGAGTGACAACCTTTGTAGTTTCAGGAAAAACTTGATGGAAAGTTACAGGGCAGGATAAGGGTGAACCAGGCTTGACTGAGTCAAATTCCCACACACAGGACAATAGTCCTAATTGAGGGAGTCAACACAAGTTAGATTGGTGCTAAGACGTCGAACTTATTTTAAAATACATCACTGAAGGTCGGTAGCCCCCTTCCCTATCTCTTCCTCTGTTTACTTTGAGGAAAATATGCAAAGGATAGTGGTTCTCGAACTTCAGTATGCTAAAGAATCATCTGGAGGGCTTGTTAAACATGTAGATTCCAAGGTCCCCCTACCACTCAGATGCTAAATTGGCATCCTGGGGAAAAGGGCTAGGAATCCATTGAATGATTCTTAGGAACACCTAGGTGGTTGGATGTAGATGGTCCATTGACTATACTTTGCATAGTCTCCAGCTCTCTCCCAGCACGTAAGTTATTCCTGGTAGAATATTTAGCCCTTTATAGTGATCTCGGAATCCACTCATTGGAATATACATATGAAAACTGAAGACAATGCAGAGTGAGTGCATGTTGAGTCTCTAAAGAAAACTGGCGGAGACCAGAGATTATTTTAGAATAACAAATTCAGAATGGTAGACTCAGGAGGATCTAAGGTTGTCTAGAAGTTGGGGCCACAAGAGGAAAACTGAATTGACGGCATTACATGATTTTGTCAGTGCAGTTTGCTTCTTTTGGCTTCATCAGCTTTGTTACATAAACTGAGTCCTGAGAAGGCCATGTCTGATTGGCATCTATAAATCCAGCACTGAAAATTCCTTGGCTAATTTAGTGAACAGTACAACTGGCCCTGAGGTGGTCTTCACAGGGTTTCTTCATATGAAGGAAGAGGTATCCCAGTGCTTAAGATGGCATCATTATTTCTGAAACCAGTGTGTTCATTATATAATATGTGATTTGGAAAACTGTTCCTGTAATACAGTAGGATAAAGGGCTAGACTTGAACTAGCTAATTGACAAAAAACCAATTATGAGGTATTTGAAATAAACAGTCCTAAAAAGTACTGGAGAAGTAAAAGAAAAAGAAAGGAGATAAAAAAACCCTTACATTTATTTTACTCTTATTATATGTTAGGTGCTTTGCTATGTGTTTTACATGCTTTATATTATATAAATGACTTTTAAGATGTCTTTCAAGAACTTTCTAAAGTCATAGAATCTACAAAACTTAAGTAAAGTGTATGCTTACCTGGGACAAATTCTTAGTATCAACTAGTGGAAAGAGGCCAAATACTTCAATATAGAGAGTTATTATCTCCCCCAGGGAGTATCCCTACAAAGAGAGAAACTTTGAACATACTGGAGAATTTAGTGAGGTGAGTGGTTTGGTTGTGAATGAAGATCTGAGCTTCTCTAATCCTTTTGGCTTAAGCCAAACCCTAATGAACAATGATTTTAGATTTTTTAAATTTTTCTGCCATGATGTGGATTAGAATTAGGCTCATGTCTTGCCCTTCCCCATCGCCAACTGTTGAGGAACTCAAGTGGAGGCTGGCTTGGCTGATTATAGGGCATATCTGTATTTATTGTGTTTTTGGGTTAGACAACTATAAGATAATTTTTAATCTAGAGAGTTCATAATTCTGTGCTTCCCACCATGAAGAAGGATGACCTCTCCTCTGTTTTGGAGGAAATGCAGAGGTCAAAGCTGGTGTCAATTGAGTTGACTACTTTTGTCTTGCAAGAGGAAAGAGGAAAATCTGTTCCAAAAGACAGCAGAAAGAGTTATTTCGAAGTACAGACTTTTGTACATTCCCAGCAAAGACGGGGGTAGAGAGAGAAGAGCAATAAAAAGGAACCCCTTGGGTGGGGACACCAAGTGTGATCAGAAGAGCATGGTCAGTGCTTTGGTATGCTCCTTATTGAAGAGTTATGTTCAAAAGCATCACTTACATTCTAAGTGCAAGTCAATGCATTTCTTTTAGTCATGTACTCACTTCTGGGCAATGCGAACGGAGCAGCCTGTGTATTTCCATTCAAGTTTAAAAACAAGTGGTATGCGGATTGCACGAAGGATGGGTCATCGGACGGCTGGTTATGGTGTGGAGCCACTGCAGATTATGACACGGATAAACTGTTTGGATACTGTCCATTGAAATGTAAGTAACCTTATCATCAAGAAAAGTTTGGCACATTTAGTATGACAACATAACGATAGCACCTTGCATTTATCTAGAATGTTTTCCCCCCAGTTATTTTACATTTATTATTGCATCATGCCCCACTACAGACTATTGTAGATGTCATTGTCCCCTCTTTATAATGGAGAAAGAGGCCCATCTTGGCCAAAGACCAGAACACGGACCTTCTGACACAGCCCTGGGCTGCATCAAATAACTCCTTTATGTTCATCCACGACTTTTCTTCAACTTCCACTTTACTGTCAGTTGTTTAGTAAGTTATACTGTATATAATTATACTGTATATAATTCAAAGTTATATTATACTGTATATAATTCAATATATACTTAATAGGAGAGGTAAGCATGCCATTCCCTACTCTTCCATCGATGTACCCTTATTAAACTATAGATTACAAACAGAATTTAAACAGTGTCACAAGCATGTGATTTGATGGAAAGAGACAGAGAGCTATGAAGAGCTCCTGAGTTTTGTGTGAATGTAATGAAAAGGGCTCCCCACTGTGAAAACGACAGTAATGAGACTCTTCTTAAACTTGGTTAAGAAGAGTATTTAATTTAACACAGCCATGAGTCACATGGACGCAGGCTATTCCCACGTGTGAAGCCCTTTTTAAAATGAAAATTTAAGCAGTATTGCCGAAATACAGATTCTTGCACTGTATTGATGGAAAGGGGCCAGAACACAAGGATTCTTGGTGTTCTTTCCACGGAATCTATAAAGAAAGCGTGCAGCAGGCTGGGGTGGCGGAGAGAGCTGTGTTCGGCTGAAGAAGAAGAAAAGCACGGCGAGTCCTTTGCTCTACTTTCCCCAATCACTCCGCTTTCTCCTCCAGCTACCAGACACCCCTTTCCACTCTTCCCCCTAAACTTCTTACCCACTGACCTCTTCAGACTTTTGAATCAGAGTAGCTCCTGGTTTTTGCAGTGACCCAGAGTTCTCTCTACCCCCATCCTGTGGAGGGGCAGGTCTAGGGGGAGAACCTCAGGTGCGGGCCGGGAGGTTGGGAGACAGGCCATCTGGACGGCAGCGGCGTCACTACAGCTGGGCTTTCGGGACCAGACGTCACACACAGTCACACTATTCCGCGTTATTGTACAACCACCCAATTTATAAAAAGATTTCAGTTTGTCAAGTGAAAGCCAGAATTGCAAGAACCGTGCTTACTTCTCTCTTTTGATCTGTAGTTCCTAAACATCTCACTAAAAATAAACTTAGTTTGTTAGCTCCATATATTGTAACTCTCTTCTGTGTTTAGTCCCTCTCTTGGGGTGAAGAACAACACTCATGGGCATCTCATTCACTGCTCTCTCATTCTTGGGTGGGGTAAATATATCCACCTCTCTTGTTAGCATCCTTCAGAGGTTTGGTCACCATGACAGGTTTATAGATGTCTGAGCTCTGTATTAGAAATCTTTTTGTCTGAAGGCAAACATTGAGCTGTTTTTTCCTTAAGATAAAGCAATACTTGTTTTTCAGAGATCGAGGGGTGTATTTATCCTTTACTAGGTAAGAGTGGTTTTTTTCTATATCTATTATTATTGGGTTTCTTAGGTGTGTGGATTTCATGGGTCCAACTACAGCATCCTGCACCTGAGTGGTGTAGACAAAGGGGCTGCTGGGTGCAAGTATGATTGAATTAATTATTAAATGGAAGATAAAGGACCAGTCCCTAATCACAAAGAAAACACCACCTAGGATGAGCATGTGTAGGAGGTGTATCCTGAGTATGTCCTAGAAGAATCTTTAAGTCCTGTTACTGGTAATTTATGTCTTTCAAACTAAATTATGTATTTTTCCTATTAAATGTAAAAGTAAAGCAGCTGTAGAAAATAAAAAAGTTGTTTGATTTTAATATGCCTTAAAAATCAAAAGCATAGTTTATACATTTCATGCCTTTTTAAAAGGGCTTTGCAGTTGCCCAATCTATTTCATTTTCCTTGCTTCGTGTTCCTTTAAAAAAAAAAACATTTTATTTTATATTAGTCATAAAACAAAAATATTCAATACGGGAAGATGAGGAACCAGCTATTGACCTAGTAATAGTTGATAGATGTCTTTTGTATTGTTCGTTGTAATGTTTAGACACTTATTTTCTAATATTATGAGAATAGGAAAAGAAAAAAAAAAAGACCCCTTTCTCTCAGTTCCTCATAGCTTGCAACTAGCTCTCAAGATCAGTTGTGCTGTTTTACTGGGGGGATTTGAAAAATTTAGGGAGATGTATAGTCAGCAAACCTATGCGTTTAATGACAAATAGGTTTTAATTCCTTGATTTTAAAAGGCAATATACACTTTCTCTAAATGAAGAAAAAGTCAAATTGCTTTTCCTTCTGTGTTCATTTATATCCCTTTCCTCCATTCCTGGATAAGAGAATAATCCCCTCTTTTATGTATATATTCCACATTTTTAAACTGTATTGTATGTAAAACCTCTATGTTCCTACAAATATTTATTTAAAACATTTCCATCTTCAAATAAACCTCAAACAGTCTCATTTGAATAATCTCACATGGAGAAGAATCCATTTGGACACTTAAACTAATAAGGCCTCAGGCTATGCTAATTTAAGTTTAATATCACTAATTAAGGTTTATTTTTAACATAAATACATGTATTGATTTTATACTTAAGCCATCTTAGAAATTTCTATGTTGTTGCCTGAACAAAGTGTTTTTTTTTAATCCTCACCGAAGGACATTTTTGCATTTATCTTCAGATAGAGCTGGAGGAAGAGAGGGAAGAAGAGAGAGAGAAACATTGAAGTGAGAGAGACACATTGAGTGGTTGCCACCCACACGACCCAACCAGGGCCGGGGACAAACTGCAAAGGAGGTACATGCCCTTAGCGGGAACCAAACCCCGGTCTCTCTGGACCGCAGGCCGACGCTCTAACCACTGAGCAAAACTGGCCAGGGCAAGGTTTTGATATACTTTTCTTCCTCTTTGGTGTGCCATGGGACCACAGATACCACATCACAGTGTGTGGCATGTGTATGATGTAGGTTACTTCTTGTCAGGTCAAAATAATCATGGCAGCACAGACCAAATGCTTACAGAGAACTGCCCAATTTCTTAGAAAAGTGAATACTTCTCAAAAAATTTGAGAAGTTACCTAATCGTTTCTCACTTTCTTGCAAATAAATGAAAAGATTATTACTTTACAAAATGACTTGTAAGTCGCATTTGTATTATTAAAAAGGCAAAAGAGACATTTTCAAAACATGAAGCACACAAAAATATTTCATTTGTTGACTCTTTTCCCAAGCATAAGTAAAAGGCTATAAATAAAATTTATCTACATATATGATTGGACTTTCATAGAGCATACCTAAGTTTATAGAATACATTCGAAATTATAAAATAACAAGAAAAATAAGCTAACATATTCATGTTTTACTCTGAGGGAAGAAAAACTAACAATCAGTATCTACTATTGCCAGGAGCTACTTATATTTAAAGTATTCTAGCCCTGGCCAGTTTGGCTGAGTGGTTAGAGAGTCGCTCTGAGGACCAAAGAGCCCGCAGGTTCGATTCTGGTCAAGAGCACGCACCTTGTTTGCGGTTCATCCCCGGCCCTGGTCAGGGTCGTGTGGGAGGCAACCAGTCCATGTGTCTCTCCCACATCAGTGTTTCTCTCTCTCTCTCTCCCCCTAACACTTTATCTAGAGATAAAATGGAAAAATATCCTTAGGTGAGGATTTAAAACAAGAAAGTATTCTAGAGATGAGAAAGCAAGACTCTAAAAGTTAACAGTTTAATTAGGTCAAACCACTTGTGAGTGCCAGGCAGGATGCAAATCTAGGTCAGTTGATTTATGGAGTTCATTACCTTCCCTTTAATGCCTGTGTCTTTGGCCTAAAATGACCAAACTAGAATGTGCAGACAAAATATTCACCTCCTGAGCCCGACCAGTGTGGCTCACTGTGACCAAGAGGTCAACGGTTCAATTCCTGGTCAGGGCACATGCCCAGGTTGTGGGTCAAATTCCCAGTGAGGGGCATGCAGGAGGTGGCCAATTGATGTTTTCTTTCATCGATGTTTCTATCTCTCTCTTCCTCTCCCTTCCTCTCTCTCAAAAGTCAATAAAGAAAATATACTTTTAAATATTCACTTGCTGAGAGAAGACATATACATATTTTCTCCTCTCCTTTTACTTTTTCCTAGATGAAGGAAGTTGGGCTGGTATCTCTATTCTTAGCTTTTGTAATTGCCACACATCCCAACTCATGTGACCCCAAACGTGTCAATGGAAGAACAGGAAGTTGATGCAGGATTGGATGTGGTTGACCTTTAGAAAACTCTCCCTCTTCATTTCACGAATGAAGAAAATCTCATAGGCACTTTAAAAATAAGTAAAAGAAAAAAAAAAAGAAAGGAAAAGAAATAAAAGTCTTGAGGCAATAATGCTTCTAGGATGGTTTAAAAACGTTGTTCACCGGAAGTCGTTTCTAGGCATAACACAACCCCATTGGACTTCTTTTCCAGTTGAAGGCAGTGAAAACTTATGGAAAAAAGACCCACTGACGGGCATTTCCTACCAGATTAACTCCAAATCTGCTTTAACCTGGCATCAGGCGAGGAAGAGTTGCCAACAGCAGAGTGCCGAACTCCTGAGCGTCACAGAGATCCATGAGCAAACATACCTGACAGGTAATGACATGAAAAAAAAAAGTTGTAAGTAAGACCATGATTATTTTGCCCGGCTGGTGTGGCTCAGTGGTTGAGCATCGACCCATGCATCAAGAGGTCGCTGGTTCGATTCCTGGTCAGGGCACATGCCCAGGTTGTGGGCCCGATCCCCAGTGGGGGGCATGCAGGAGGCGGCCAATAGATGTTCTCTCTCATTGATGTTTCTATCTCCTTCTCCCTCTCCCTTCCTCTCTCTCTAAAAATTAAGAAAAAAAATTAAAATTAAAAAAAGACCATGGTTATTTTCTTTTTGCATAGTTTAAGTTAAAAGCCGACAACACAGTGGACTATAGACATCATAATAGGATCAGTCTCTGAGCAGATGGTGTGACGAATTTGCGTCTTGAAAAGACACCGGGATGGCAAATAGGCCTGTTCCCAGGAGCCAGCTTTGTTCCATCAGTTGTAACAGTCCCCAGAATCTGTGCTAACAGTGATTCTGAGCATTAATCTGGGCTCAGACTAGAAGATGCCACAATTAATAGGATTCCTGGACATAAGACAGGGGCACCATGCTGGTCAAATATGGAAGGTCTAACCTGAGGCCAAGGTCAACCTTGGCAGGGTGGCTCTCAGAGCGATCAAGTGGGGTGCTGCCACCATAAGTGGGAACAAGTCAAGAGCTGCTCTGAAACCGAGCCCTTTTTGTCTCTGTCCCTAGAACTCCCAGACCCCCTAGTGGTGTGCAGGTCTTATGGACACTCTTTCCATAACGTGATGTTTGATTTTAAAACTTCTATTCTTATAGGATTGTGAAGATTAAAAGGGCTGACATTTGCTCGAAATGAGCATATTTGTTTGAGTTTCCACAATCCACACTGGGGTACAGAGAGATTAGGACCAGAAATGAGTGTGGGAGAAAAGCACCCCCAAGTCCTTGCTCCAGAGTACCCTCCCTCCCTTCTGCCCACCCTCACACTGCTACCCTCCTCCCTTCTGCTCACCCTCACACTGCTACCCCCCTCCCTTCTGCTCACCCTCACACTGCTACCCCCTCCCTTCTGCTCACCCTCACACTGCTACCCCCCCTCCGCTCTGCTCACCCTCACACTGCTACCCCCTCCCTTCTGCCCACCCTCACACTGCTACCCCCCCTCCGCTCTGCTCACCCTCACACTGCTACCCCCTCCCTTCTGCCCACCCTCACACTGCTACCCCCCTCCCTTCTGCTCACCCTCACACTGCTACCCCCCTCCCTTCTGCCCACCCTCACACTGCTGCTACCCCCTCCCTTCTGCTCGACCCTCACACTGTCTACCACCCCCTCACCTTCTGCGTACACCCTCACACTGCTAAACCCCCTCCCTTCGCTCACCCTCACACTGCTACCCCCTCCCTTCTGCTCACCCTCACACTGCTACACACCCCCCTCCGCGTCTGCTTCACCTCACACTGCTATACCACCTGCCCATTCCTGCTACCCCCTCCCTTCTGCTCACCCTCACACTGCTACCCCCTCCCTTCTGCTCACCCTCACACTGCTACCCCCCCTCCCTTCTGCTCACCCTCACACTGCTACCCCCTCCCTTCTGCTCACCCTCACACTGCTACCCCCCCTCCGCTCTGCTCACCCTCACACTGCTACCCCCTCCCTTCTGCTCACCCTCACACTGCTACCCCCCTCCCTTCTGCTCACCCTCACACTGCTACCCCCTCCCTTCTGCTCACCCTCACACTGCTACCCCCCTCCCTTCTGCTCACCCTCACACTGTTACCCCCTCCCTTCTGCTCACCCTCACACTGCTACCTAATCAATATATCTCAGATCCTGTGACCACCGTGTTTGAAAAACCCGTGGTGGCTTCTCTTCTCCTTTCAAGTAATTCACGAAACAGATTTGGCTGACACACAGTGGCTGCCCTCTGCCCTCTGCCCTCTGCCCTCTGCCCTCTGCCCTCTGCCGACTGCTCCCCTTCCTGTGTTTCTCAGCCTCGATGAGAGAAAAGTTCTGGGTTCCTCATCCACGTGTCATGCTTTCTCACCTCCACATTTTCATGCCACTTCTCGTACCTAGAATTTCACAAATTTTATGTGGTTGAAATGCAGCTCGTCTCCATTTCCATGTCCGTTGGTCTCACTTGTTCGCTCCTTTTCTAACAGTTATATATGTGTTCCACTTCCCCAACAAGGGTGTATGCACGTTCGTTCATTATTTCTATTCATCCATCCATTCGACAAGGTGACTGGTAGGCATGATGCTAGGTCCCAGCGACACAATGTTGACCAAAGCCAGACATGTCCTGTCCACTTGGAGCGTGAAGTCCAGTGGGGAAAACACATACAAACAAGAAAACAAACTGACAAATAAATAAAGAAAACAAAATGAAGGCTGTGTGGAAAATTGATTATGTAGGCAAATGCTGACCGTGAGGAATGTCTTTGAATATTCGCGTCCCCTCCCCCAGAGAGTCACACAGAACCTCCCAAGGGCAAGAGTCTCAGCGAGTGTTTGCTGACTGACACATGATGATGCAGCACAATCAGAATAATTACTTAGCAACGCAGCCTCATGTTCGGACAAGCGGTCCGTTTATGGCGAGAGGGTGGTAGGAATGGTAGTTCTTAAAGGTGAAGTTGCTTATTAATCACCAGAGAACTGTATTCAAGTGAAGATGGCCTGGTGCAAACCCAGAGATTCTAGATCACCGGGTGTGAGGTGGGGCCAGGAATTTGCATATTATCAACCTTCCAGGTGATTCCGGGGCAACTGGTTGGGAGACCACACTTGGCAAAACACTCTGTTAGTACCTGCTGCACCAGTGGTGCCTACGAATCCATCCGACTGGACACCAGGCAGCTGAGTCCAAGAGTCAAGAGCAGAGACGGGAGCACACGGCCTGGGCTCCAGCACTGTGAAGCTGGGGGACCTTGGTGGGGATCCTGAGACGGGTGCCGCAGTGACTTCATTTGTTAAAGGGGAGAGTGTGTCAACCAAGACAAGGGATGGAGCACCTTTCCTGACTTACCCCATTTTCTACGACTTCACTTTCTCCAACTCTTTTCAGATAATCCTTTTCATCGACTAGATCACATTTCTCCCATCAATTATTAGTTTTTCATTGGACTTGAAGATGTTTATTGCCTTCTGTTTTTGGTGGAAGGAATTTGACATAGATTTATTATTAGCCTACCTAATTTCTTATTAGCACAACCTTGGGAAATCCACAAGCAAAATGTAACTGGGTAAAACACATTTTTCTCTTCCTAGTCCATTTCTGAGAGCTAAGTCGTGAACTGGGCCACTGTAAGGAAATATTTCTTGCAATAGTTGAGCACCACGCTTAACGGTGATTGATTTTCTCCTTTCCGTATAGACAGCCACTCAGCATTTCCTTTCGGTTGTGATTAAGGAGACTGATGATGGACAAGCAACCTGACCCGCTCTGTGCATTCATAAACCCAGAGATGAGATCATGCCTCCATCTGCTCAGTGATTCTGTTTAGGGCTGTTCTTTGGGGTCTTTCTTAATATTGGGATGAAGTATCAGAGTGATTAATATTTACAAACATGTATAAAAATTAGAAGGAGAAGAGAGCACAGACAGAGACAAAACTAAATCCCTGCAGATATTAAGGAAGAGAACAGATGGTTTAAGATGGTCCTGGTGGTGTCTGCACATGTCCACGAACGAGAGAAAAATCTGTCGGAGTTGAAATGGTTTCAACGGTCTTTTTTGTTTTTTAAGGAAGTTGTTTTTGGGTTGTGTTCTCTTGACTCTTACGAGTTTTACTCTTTTTCTGGCTGTTTGGAAGCCAAAGGACAGAACACAGGCGACTTTCTCGCTCTCTCCCCAGCGGCACAGAGGAAAGCAGTGATGTGGAGAGAGGAGAGCCCCGCCGCAGTGCCGGTGGCTGTCAGGCCCCGGGCGGGAAATGCCCCCGAATCTCTGCCGCGGCCCTCGGGAGACCAGCCCGCAGGGAGGCGGCGGCCGAGTCCTCCTCAGACTCATGCGTCTGAGCCAAGCCTCTAGCTTTGTAGTCAGCATGTTTTGAACATTTCCGGCTTTTCTCCAAATCAACAATATCATGCATTAGGGGGCAAAAAGCCTGATAAGGAATTAAAAAAAAGAAAACAGAATTTTGTTTTCTGGGAGGGAAGACATTCATGCTATTTGGGATTTATTGGGATATCTCAGGGAAGAATCCAGAAAATAATGGTGTGACTGGGGACTATGAACTACTCCATTTTAAGAAACCCACCACCAAAAGGAAAAAGAAAGCACTCATTGCCCTGGCTGGGGTGGTTCTGGGGTCAGAGGGTCGGCTGAGGACCAAAGGGTTGTGGGTTTGATTCCCTGTCAAGGGCACGTACCTGGGTTGCAGGTTTGATTTCTGGCCCTGGTTGTGGTTGTGCAGGAGGCAACTAATCGATGTGTCTCTCTCACAATGATGTTTCTCTCTCTCTCTTCCCCTCCCTTCCTTCCACTCTCTCTAAAAATCAGTGGAGCCCTAGATGTTTTTTGCTCAGTGGTTAGAGCATCAGCCTGCGGTCCAGAGAGACCCGGGTTCAGTTCCCGCTAAGGGCACATACCTTGGTTGCAGTTTGTCCCTGGCCCTGGTTGGGTTGTGTGGGAGGCAGCCACTCGATGTGTCTCTTTCACGTCAATGTTTCTCTCTCTCCCTCCCGCTCTATCTGAACAAAAAATGGGAAAATGTCCTCAGGTGAGGATTAAAAAAAAAAAAAAGAATGAAAAAATATCCTCAAGTGAGGGTTAAAAAAAAAGTAACCACAAATAGCTATACTTTTAAGATAAGATTTCTCTTTCTTCTTCCTTCCTCCTCCTCTCCCTCCCTCCCTCCCTCCCTCCTTCCTTCCCTTCCTTCCTTCCTTCCTTCCTTCCTTCCTTCCTTCCTTCCTTCCTTCCTTCCTTCTCCTCACCTGAGGATATTTTTCCATTGATATTCAGATAGAGTGGGAGGAAGGGGAAGGGGAGAGAAAGGGAAAGAGGGAGAGAGAGAGAGAGAGAGAGAGAGAGAGAGAGAGGGAGAGAAACATTGATGTGAAAGAGAAAAATCGACTGGTTGCCTCCCGCCTGACCAGGGCTGGGGACCGAACCACAACTGAGGTATATGTGCCTTTGACCAGAATCGAACCCGTGACTCTTTGGTCCATGGGCCGATGTTCTAACCACTGAACAAAACCGGCCAGGGCAAGATAATATTTCTCTTATGTGAGAATTTTTGGAGTAAATATCATTTAAAAATAAAAATGTATACGCCCAATTTATGACCCTGAGATCAAATGACTTGTCATTTGAACGGCTGCTGTGTGGCAGACACTTGGCTTTACTGCTGAAGCTTATGCCCACCTCCTAGATGAATAATTGTCCTCATGTTATAGATGAGAGAGCAGACTAGGAATAGAAATGAGAAACTTGCCTCATGTCTCGTGTTCAGAAAGGAGCTGAGTTGGAATTCAGTGCTGTCTTTCCATTTCATTCTGCCTGGGTCTCACTAAGAGAAAGGAAGCAAGGATCTGGTGGCCCCCAAAGCACTAAACAGAACCCTATATTAAGATGTCAACAGCTCCTTGCTCCAGTAAAATTACTCTGGACGGTCGATCCGACTTCACAGTCTCTGCAGGGCTAACAGCTGCTGCCTAAGCAGCCCCTTCTGATATCACCCTCCGGCGTTTCATCATGCTCACTTCTGTTTCTAACCTCAAACATGTTGGCACACTGTATTCAATTCTGAAGCCCCAAATCAGAATTATAACTACATTTGTGCACAGTTAGGATTTACAGAACTGAAAAAAGATATAGGAAGTGAAATTTGGCTTTGGGACTCTGATTGTTTTGCCAGTTTCCTTTTTTGCTGGCCAGAAAACAAAATGGGCCTCCATACAGAAAAAAATTACCAGTGTAATACTGGGCATTAATGCCTCCTCTATTATAACTAAATTCAAAAGTAGGTTTATATACCAGGCTCGTGTGGCTCCGTGGTTGAGCATACACCAAGAGGTCGCTGGTTCGATTCCTGGTCAGGACACATGCCCAGGTTGTGGGCTTGATCCCCAGTGGGGGGCAAGCAGGAAGCAGCCAATCGATGTTCTCTCTCATCGATGCTTCTATCTCTCTCTCCCTCCCCCTTCCTCTCTCTAAAACCATTAAAGAAAAAAAGAGTAGGTATATAACCATTTCAGATAATACATGCAGAAAAATTAAGAATTAAAATGTTTAGCATGTGGAATTGATGCTTTCTATAGTAAGGTCATAGAAAATTGTTATAGTAAAAATATCTGGTCTCTTGTAAAATTACAAAAGCACATTAGAGAAAAAAATTGTGGCTGATGCTCATCTGCTTTAAGTGATATATTTGACACAAAGTTTGAGTTTTGTTTCTAAATCACACTTTTTGCCAACCTAACATCCACATGAAATAATAATAATAATATTAATGATGGCAATAGCTTACATTTATTGGGCACATACTATGAATCAGGCCCTATTTCAGCACTTAATTTAATTCTTCAAAACAAGCCCAGAAGTGTTACAGGAAGGAGAGAGCCTCTTCTCCCCCAGTTGCTCATGGAAGTGGGGTTCTTGGGGTACCATCAGAATAAGCATTTCCAGAGGCCCCCAAGGGAGGATGAAATGTAGTCGAAAGCTTTGTTTCCATGGAATTACCCCCCTGGGTTTCCAAAGTCCTATTTCTCTTTGCCTAGTCATAGAAGCGTAGCTGGGGTTTTAGTAGAGATAAAATCAGAGCCAGTGTCCAGAGTTTCCATCCAGGTCTGCACAGCCCGACCCAGCATCAGGCTGGCTTAACTTGTGTTTCCAGCAAATGTTGGTAGTCCATCAGTCCATTGCCTGTGAGGTCCGCTGGGCCACATGGCTACGGAGGAAACAGGGGCGAATGCAGGGAAGCCAAGAGCCAGCCAAGAGCACAGAGCGGCGAGGGAGAACTCCTTTGTTTAGGAGATTATACATTCCCAAATTTTCTTGCACTTGCAGTGGCCATGCCTATTCTGGCCAATCATCTCTGTTCCCAGGTGTGATTGACAGGCAAGTAATTTTCCTGGGTCGCCCTTGCTTTACTGGGCATGCATCTATTTTGCCTTTGTTGGATGCTTTCCCACAATGCTTTGCAGGGAATGGACTGGTGGTTCCCTGGGGAGTATGAAGTTGCAGCTTCCTGGTGAAGCTGCCCAGATGACATGCCTATAATGTCTGGCCTCCCTTTTTGCTCCTTTCCAATTATTAATAACTAGCTAATTACAATGGTATCAGAAGTACTTAAAGCAGATGCAGACTGTCAAAGAATAGACATTTCCCTTAAAGAGTACTTAATTCTGAATTTAATTTCATTGTCTATTCGGAATGTGAGTTTTGTTTCTGTTTTTGTTTTTGTTGTGTAGGATTAACCAGTTCCTTGACCTCAGGACTCTGGATTGGACTTAACAGTCTGGGTGTGAACAGTGGATGGCAGTGGAGTAGCGGCAGCCCGTTCCGATACTTGAACTGGTTACCAGGTAGGGTAAAGGTTGTCTGTGGTTGAATTAATCTAAACTTAACTTTTCCCCATGCCATGGGGACCTTCATCATCTCACGTGTAGATCTCAAAGAGGAGAGTTGGGAGACTATCAAATACAGTTCATTTCTCACCTTGATTCGAAATCTGCCAGCTAGATTTGAGTAAACTAAAACCATAAGGTTATACCTGAGATAAGGACCTGTCAGGCGGGATTATCACACAAATCAGTACAAGTCTCTGTTACTGTATAACTTCTTAGAATACCCTTGATTTGCTAAGTACAGAACAGCGGGGGGATGACCAAGCCTTCCACAACTTTTCAGTTTATGGAGGACAGAAAATGCCCTGAGCTAATTATTTCTACATTATCATAACACACAGGTAATGGAATAAAAAAGGAGACTAAATAATAAATATGTTCTACATATACAGCAATTATTCAGAGAAAACAGAAGACCAGTGATGCCCCCAAACTGTCACCGTATTCACCATTACCAGCCGTGTTAGTAGCTGCTTGAGGGACTCAGCAGAGCATGGTCTGAACCCCCACCCCACCCCACCCCCATACCAATCTTGGTTTATTAGGAAAGAGTGCAAAGAACAATCGGTGCTTCTGCCAAGCCTGTGGGGGAGGGGCAGCCTATTGGTCACATCCCCCTTTAGTGGTTCTGCCGTGGAAAACACTGATGTGGTGTTTTTTCATGCAGTTAGACTGATTTTTTAAAGCCATTAAATGTTTTTTGCATTTGGTTTAGATAATTAAGCTCTCCATTTTTTTATAGAATGGATGTATGCTGTTCAAAAAAGAAAAACTTCGGCAAAATAATATTCAGAATAGATGCTGAAACAATGGAGGGAATTTTTAGAGGGTATATTTTGGTTTACATTGATTAGATTTTACTATGAAATATCACCTTCAATGCATGATGATTACAGGGCTGTCACTAGAGTCTTACGATAGTATCAGCTCTGTCTTCCTCTGGAGCATGGGAAGTAAACATTGCTACAAAGGAATATAAGATGTCCTTTTTCATGGGCGAGGATTGGATTTTTCTGCCTACTCACTCAGCCAAATTAAACTGGAGAATGCCAGTTGAGGTCAATCAGATCACTAGACAAAAATAATCATGTATGAGGAAACGAGTTTATTCTTCTTTGTTGCTTAGTTATTGTACAACATTATACAGTGCAGGTCACTTTTTTTATTACTCTTTTTGGGGGTGATTGTAATATTTAGCGGCCTGCATTCTAAGAGTTCTGTGAGAGAATTTGGAGGTTAACTTCAGTAAAGGTGAGAAATGAAATTGGGATATTACTCAGAAAGAAAAATAAATGACCTTTATTAAATCAAGTTCCTGAGAAGTAAGTACACTTTAAATCACCTTATAAAATAGTATGAGAGTTACTTCAAACTAAAATGAGAAACCTTGTGGGATATTAGCAATTATTATTGTATAAATTGTTGCATCAAGCATTCAATTGAATACTTATTACCCAGTAATACATTCATTTAAATACATTCACATTTGAAGTGAGGCTGTTTTACACAAATAATATAGAAGTATAAATTCAAATATATAACTATGGTAACCACTTAAAGACAGCTCATTGATATATTAAAGTTGGTAGTTGTGTTGTTTTGAAAAATGTATAACATGATTTATTAGTTAATACATTAATAACCCATAGCTGTAAAATTTATTATTGTTTTTTTTCTAGTACCAACACTGACATCTTATCTGTTAGTTGTTATATTGTAAGTTTGGTCACAATATCAACTCATTTTAAAAACATCCTTATCCTATCACTAATAGTTTTTTCCTTTGTGTGCTATACAAGCAACTTTCAAACATTTTTGACCAAGTCTTTATGGAGCAGGTAACACGATTCCCATCTTTCAGGAAGGGAGAGTGAGGCCCAGGTCCAGGTTATATACACGTCAAAGGTCACAAAGCAGTCATTAACCAAATGCGGCTCATTGACCCTGTCTCTGGGTGTGAAACAGAACTAAATGCATCTGCTGTGTTAGCAAAGTTGACTTTATCTGGTGCTTTGATGGGTTTCTGATTAAAAACAGATGAGGTGTTAGCTGTAAAAACACTCTTTGTAGGTTGAGTTGGAAATCCTGAGTCGTAGTTCTGAGTGCGTGTTTTCAGCGTTCACTTGGACACCTTGTTGCTCCAGCATCCCTTCCCTAGTCATGCTTCTCCGCCTCCTCTTGCTCACTGGAGAAAGTTTTCCCACGTCCAGAAACTCTCTGGTCTGGTCCTCACTGTTAACTTGACTTCGTTTTCTTGATAGGTATTGACAGTTCTTACTAGGGCTGGCTTGGAACCTCTGTTACTCATAACCAGCGGGAAGATTGTCCAGGTTTCAAGGTCTACCTTTATTTTTGTAACATTGTGAAAGAAAAGTTATTTCAAACAAGTGAACTTGAATAATCAAAATTGTAGGCATTGGAATGATCCGATTGGTTCTCAACCTCCCTAATGCTGTGACCCTTTAATACAGTTCCTCATGTTGTGGTGACCTCCAACCATGAAATTATTTTCGTTGTTACCTCATAACCGTAATTTTGTTTTCCGATGGTCTTAGGCGACCCCTGTGAAAGGGCTGTTCGACCCCCCAGGTTGAGAACCGCCGGATTAGAAGCCAGACACCCAGCGTGGCTTTGCTCCAAAGTCAGCAAACACGTGTCTGTGCGTGTGTAGCAGAAGACGGGGGGGGGGGGGGATTCCGTGAGACCCCAAGGATGAAGATGTGAAGCCAGGGGGCTGTCTACTTGTAACACTTGATGTTTTTCTTTTCTCCAAAGGAAGTCCATCGGCAGAACCTGGGACAAGCTGTGTGTCCCTGAATCCTGGAAAGAATGCTAAATGGGAAAATCTGAACTGTGCCCAGAGACTAGGCTACATTTGTAAAAAGGGCAACACGACGTTGCATCCTTCTATTATTCCCTCAGGTAAGTGATCTCTTTGATCCGAAGTGCGTAAAATATAATTTCACGATAAAGTTACAGTTTCGTCAGAACTGTGTGAAATGACAGGTTTGGTGGATACTTTATGGAGTCAGCTGAATGCTGCTCCTCCAAAATTTCTTTTCGTTGGTCACCCCTGCTGGTCACTGGCCTTTCCGGGGTGTCCTGTGGTGTTCAGGCTGTGCAAAGCCTCTGACAGAACGTAAGTAGGAACTTGACCTTCACAGCAGCCCTCTGAGGCAGGTGTTATTATTCACACAGTCTAGATGAGGAAAAGATAGTCAAAGGCTATATAAAACTCGCACATGTGACAAAATCGGAATCCAAGCCAGGAAATAAATACCTGAAAGAGATTTTGTGTGTGTGTGTGTGTGTCCTCACTGTTTAGGGTCGATCTGGGCTCTAATGCTATTCGAATTGATGCCATCTACAGAAGTCCTCACAGAAATGGAATAAAACATCCCAAAAGTAGTAACTGAATTTTATATATAGGCTAGACTCGAGGGGAAAATTCAGTTATGCGCTCTATAATTATTTTATGGAGGAATTTAACTACAAAAGCAAGACTGCATTCTTTCTACAAATTGGCAAAAAGCAAACAATGTACATATTTTTCACTGTCAGTTATTTTTGGAGGCACACTTAATTCTTTAAAGAAATGTATATATGAATATATACATATGTATATGTATATACTGTGCTTGGGAAATCTGACTGTGTGTCATTCCTAACTTTTTTCTTTTTGAATTTTAAAAGTAATAATTTCATTTATTTTAAAATAGGATTGACATGGCTAGAAAGTCAAAAAGTTCAAATGATAAATAATAATATTTTCCTCCAACCTCTTCTAACTCCCACTTCCCCTTCCTGAATAACTGTTTCTGGATGTATTTCCTTATCTAGTTATTCTCTAAATACATAAACAAATATGTTTATAATTATTGTTATCTGTTTCATACACACGGAAGCATGTGCTACATTTATTCTTTACTTTTTTCACTTACTAACAATTTTGGGCATTATTCTATATAGGACATAAATAACTTCTGTGTTACTTTTTACAGCTGCACAATAGCCATCCCAGAGAGAGACCATATATATATTCTTTGACAGGTCCCCTATTAGTTGACCTTTAGTTTACTTCCACTTTTTATTGTTTACAAACAGTCCTACAGTGAAGAACTTTATATACATGTCATTTCATACGTGTGATAATCCCTAGAAGTGAAGATGTTGATCAAAGAGTAGCTGCATTTGCAATTTTAGTAGATGGCAATGTGGCCAAGATCTCCAGTGGATGAGGAGCCCAGTTATTGGGTCTGATCACACTTTACAGGATCACTGTTACGACTGTGGCCGGCCTCAGGGAGACCTCCATCATTCTTGTATTCTAGCTCTTTTATTGCTCCCATGGGAGAAATAGTATCCTTCTTCCGCCTTGGAAGAGCTTATATAATTCTCCTTCAGAAGACTTGGAGTTTCCACTTTGGGGGAGAGAAGTATGGTTGTTTGATAGTTACCCTGGTACAGGAGGCCGAATTCAGTGACTTGTTCTTGTTACTTCATCCCCCAGTTCTAGCTTCCTCATCTGTGAAATGGGGACCCTGATACTCATTCCTCCTGTGAACATTTATTTGTCCATGTCGTCAAGCACTCAGTAAATCACTCTTATTTCTCTATTATTTCATACATTACATCACTTGCTACCTCTTCACTTTCCACTGGTTTTTAAATTTCTTTATATACTTATTGGCTTAATCATTCTATCTTATCTATAAAGTAAAATAAACCAGGCCTTGGAAAAGCATATCAGAGATCAAATTATTCAGTACATGTGACTGGTGACCCCTTGGGCAAGGATTCCACCTGGGACCCTGTTGGTCTTTGTAACATCACCCTCTCTGTCCATAACCCCTGGGTTCTCAGAGCTACACTGTCCAGTTCAGTGGCCTCTTAGCCACATGTGGCCACTGAGCACATGAAATGTGGCTACTTCCAACCCACATGTGCTGGAAGTGAAAAATACATAGTTGGCTTCTAAGACTTTACATGCAAAAAACGTAAAATAGCTCATTGTCAATTTTTTAACGTGTTACATGTTAAAATGAATGTTTTGGGTAAATTGGGTTAAATAAAATATACTACTAAGATTAAATTTACCTGTTTCTTTTTACTTTCATTGAACATCACAACTAGGAAATGTATAATTGTGTGTGTGGTTGCATTATATACCTATTGGGCAGGTCTGCCAGGAACGAGCCATCTTTTGTGGCTGCCCCATGGAAACGCTTGTTTTCGTGTTTAAAAATTTTTTTTTTTTATCCTCACCCGAGGACATTTTTCCATTTTTTGTTCAGATAGAGCGGGAGGGAGAGAGAGGAAGAGAGAGAGAGAGAAACATCGATGTGAAGGGACACATCGAGTGGCTGCCACCCGCACGACCAACCAGGGCCGGGGACAAACTGCAACCAAGGTACGTGCCCTTAGCGGGAACCGAACCCGGGTCTCTCTGTACCGCAGGCCGACGCTCCAACCGCTGAGCCAAACCGGCCAGGGCTGTTTTAAAATATTTTAAAAGTTCATCTATTTAGATTTAGAAGTCCTGAGCATTTGCTGACATTATTTTCAGCTTCTTAGGCAGCAAAATTAAAATATCCCACCAGAGGGCTCCAGAGATATACTAACATATTTTTGGGGGTAACTATTGGAAGTGTGCAAATGTAAATTGCATTGAGGGGATTTTTGAAAATATACATTTTGAATTACAATAGTACAGTGTTTGGACATGATGACTACCTATTTACTTGAATGACTGCTGTACACAGACTCCTGGGCTTAACCAAAGATGTTGCAGAGTCCCAGCCTTTAAGAGAAAATGGGACTGAGACATCGAATGTATAGCAGAGGTGCCCTATATAGGACATTGACTTAAGAACACTTAGCATCAAATTTAAATATATAAATCGACGTTCACTTGGTAACATAATTCTTCCTTAGGCAAGGTATGATGTGAAATTGCTGTTTGAAATAATATCTGCAACAGGGTAGTTATAAACTGCTGTATATCAAATATAACTTCAGTTACTTTTTTTTTTTTTGGTATGTGCCCCTAGTGGGAACCAAACCCTAGACTCTCTGGTCTGCAGGGCAACACTCCAACTGCTGAGCCAAACCGGTCAGGGCTCAGTTCCTTTTCTTGACCAACATTCAGTACATGTACCGCGTGCCAGGCCCTGGGCCAGTTCTAGGCAAATGGGGATGAATACGAGGAGTCTCTGCCTTCCAAGGTCATCACCTTCTCCAGCTCATTACCATGAGAATGTATTTTTGTAATATATTGTTGAGGTTATGAAACTTGCCCTGGCTGGTTTGGCTCAGCAGTTAGAGCTTCGGCCTGTGGACCAAAGTGTTTTCAGGTCAAGGGCACGTACCTTGGTTGCAGTTTCATCCCTGTTCCTGGTCGGGGTCATGCAGGAGGCAACCAGTTGATGTGTCTCTCTCACATAGATGTTTCTCTCTTTCTCTTCCTCCCTCCCTTCCACTCTGAAAATTAATGAAAAAATAGCCTCAGGTGAGCATTAAAAAAAAAGATTCTGAAACTTGACCATAACTATTAGCAGCAATGATTAGGATGTTGGCCACTATTCCCAGTTTGATTAAATAGTAAATGTGTGGCATTTGTAATTCCCAGTCACATTATCTCACATGTTTTCTAGTTCAGAACACAGTGAGAATTAGTATTAGTATTAATGTTATTAGAAATGCCTTACGTATATGGACTTACACTTTGGTTCATAAGATGTGACTTGTCCAAGATCACACAACTTGTGGCACATTCGGGTTTTGCCTGAAAGACTTCTGAATCTAATCGCTGTGATTTCCACAATATCACATGTCACCTTTTGGGAGCCAGCGAATGGCAGTGGGTTGGTTCAGAGGCTCAGGTGGCCGTCTCATATTGCTAAGGTTTCGGAAGCTCCTTGGTGGCCCCTGCCCTTGCCCATTCTATTCCGTTTCAACACCTCTCTCTCATGCCTGCCTAACAGGCTTTGCCCTCTACTGAGGAATGACTGGCTCCCTGATGTCCATCAAATAGAAACAAATTGAAATTTTTTAAGCCCTATACTTTATGTCCAACCCTTTGTGCTTCCAGCATTTATATAACATGCTTAGCACATGTTTACTGATGACAAAACACAGATAAAAGCAGTCTTTTAGATATTCGTGTGGCCTGCCATAAGTACGTTTTTAAAAAATTTATTGAACTTACAGAGAGGAAAGGAGGGAGTGAGAAACATCGATGTGAGAGAGGAACACTGATTGGTTGCCTCCTGCATGTACCCAGATTAAGGATCAAACCCACAACTTGGATATGTGCCCTGACCGGGAACCGAACCCTCCGCCTTTTGGTGTATGAGACAAGGCTCCAACCAACTGAGCCACCTGGCCAGGGCAGTACAATTGAAAAAAAAAAAAAAAGAAAAAACGATATTTCCCATTTATCTTTATTTTAAAATGAAAGATGCATTCACATACTTTTAAGTCTAAAAGCAATGTATACTTTTGTGAATGCCAAGAGGTAAAAAATAATGTTACTTTTATTTGCCCTTGACTATGAACTATTTTCTGTATAGAATGGTAGCAAATATTAGTACAATAAAAACAAACAAAGAAAAAACTAAAAACCTTCCCTTTTAGATGGTTTTCAAATTCTTTTTTTTTTTTTTCTTTCTAGACAGTGATGTGCCTACTAACTGTCCACATCAGTGGTGGCCGTACGCAGGCAACTGCTACAAGATTCACAGAGAGGAGAAGAAAATCCAAAGAGATGCTTTGACCGCGTGCAGGAAGGAAGGTGGTGACCTAGCAAGTGTCCGCAACATCGAGGAGTTTGACTTCATCATCTCCCAGCTGGGTTATGGTGAGAACGTCCATCTGTGATATGCTTGACCCGAGTGCCCCCCACTCACTGAGCATCTCCAGAAAATTTAATCATAAATGTTCAATTTAATACATTCGAATTACTGATTCCATGATCAATTTGATAAATGTGAATCATGCTTAGCAGGTAAAAACGGTATAGTATTTTAAAGAATGCTTATCACTAAGAGCTAATTTGATTTTCTTTTAATATGCAAACCATTTATGGATACTTGAAAGAATATTTTTCTATATATAATCTGGATTCACAGCAGTCTACCCTCAAATTGTCAACAGTATTTCTTTTTATTTATTTTTGTAGTTATTTGTGTGTGTGTGTGTGTGTTTATTTTCTTTAAAGGCCTCTATTTTATTTCACAAGAAATATCTCTAATGAAGCATCTCATACTTTGGATGTTATTCCTTATTAACCTAGCTTATGATGCTAGAATGTTGAGCCATGAAAGAAATGGGATATTTCATTGGAGTAGTTAGATGTTGGCCTCAATCTTTTAAAGAAATTCATGTCTCCATTTTAGATACTTTATTTAAAAAATGTATAGGAAATGTCATAACTAAACTATTGTGAAGTTTTCGAAAATGAAAAAACAAAAACAAAACAAAACCCAAAACCAAAAACCGTGGGTAGGATGAGTTGGGAATGCTTACCCTGAAGAGGAGGGTGAGGAAGAACCTGATAATAACGGCCCGCTCTGTGCTTGCTGATTAAATGATTATCATTCTCTGCTCCGTGATGAGACTTTTGAATAGCTGCAGCTGCTCGTTTCCAGCAAGCAAAACAAGAGGAAATGGATGGTGGTGATGGTGGGGACTGCTTCCTGACACGCCTGACAATTGGCAGGAGGAGGGGAGAGGAAAAGGCAACTGACAAATAGAAAAATAGTCGTTTCAGAGCAAGATTGGAAAGATCCCCCAACACAACTACTCCTGCTGCAGTCTATAAGCGCTCTCCTGGCCATTCCATACTTACCCAGTCTGTCTTTACCTGGACGATAATCATGTGATGAAAACGGCTGTATCCGAATACTGTCATGACGTATATAAGTCGTGATACTGGAAAACAGATCAGTTAAGATGCTTTAGGAGTAACGTGCAGTTTTGCTCTTCTTTATGTACTAGGCTCTAATAATAGGAGAACCTTACTTGTTTATGGCTATAGTTATTTTGGGAAGCTGGATGACCAGGTGAGCTTTTATTCAGGTTGAGAATTCATAAGTTTTCACTACGGAAACCTTCTCTTTTTATTATTGAGAAGGATTTCTTTAAAACAATCAAAATAATATTGATAAAAGTAAACACTATGAGAAACATCTGTAACAAAAATAAATTAATAAAAGAAAAAAGTAAACAATAGCTATAAAATTAAAAGTAAATCAAAAGGCCAGGAAACCTTTTCGAGCTAGTCGAAATCTCTTGTATGTGAATCATGGAAAGGCAGTGGGGAAACGGGGACCTGCACGTATACATTGTGAGTATATTCACTACGAGTTTCCCATAACTGATTTATACAAATCAGCCTATTTATACAAATCAGCCTCACACCTTTACACTTACATCTTATGTATTTTTATAGGATCAAGATTGTGCTTTGGAATTACCAAAGCTGGAGGGGGAGAACGGTTTAGTGAGAAAAGTGTTTATAGAAAACTCTTAATACTTTTTTATAATTGTGGGACCAGGGAGTTAGGTTTTCATTAGTCTTGAACCTAAATTCTTGAGATGTGGGTATGTGAGGCTGTTTGGAACCCTGTATGGGCTGCTCAACAAGATTATTCTCTGCCAAGTTCAGTGAAAGGAAAAGGGATCATCCTGGCAATGTCAGTCACGCTGTATGGCTCTGGAAACATCTGGGGGGCCTGGCGCAAGGCCAGTCAGGGACTTCTCCAAAGCAAAGTTGAGTGACAGCTTTGGGAGGAAGAGACAAACTATTTAGGGAAATTCCTATATAGTGTGGCATTTTTCTCATTTCCTACTACAAAATCATCTTTGAAATCCTTTGGCAGGTAATTTTTTTTTTTTTTTTTAATTGAATACCATTTCATTCTGCATGTGGTTTGTATTACAAAATTCAGGAAGGAACACTCAGAGCAGAGGTACATCTAAGTCACTCCTCAACTGTGAGCTGTGGTAGGTATTTATTTCACAGTTTCAAGAATATAGATTCAGAACCACCTGAAAGTGAGCTGAATGGAAGTCCTACAACTACAAAATAAAGACGCAGCCACACCCAGACTGGTAGGAGGGGCGGAGGGGGGCTGGTCCCACACCCACGTGTGGCGGATAAAAATCAGGAGGACACCTCGGCTGGGAAGGTCCTCCCTGAGGACTGAGGGGTCCCCGTCCCACACCAGGCGCCTAGCTCAGGGTCCCAGGGCCAGGAAGAAAAGTCCCCATAACTTCTGGCTGGAAAAACCAGTGGGAACTGAGGTTGAGGGGGGCTGCGGCTGTGGCAGCCCCAGGCAGTTCCTCTTAACGGCCCGTGCACAGACTTACTCAGACTCGCTCCCTCTGAGCGCCCAGGGAAGGCAGCTTGAGAGGCGCCAGAGAACAGGGAAGAACTGTTTGGCCTCCGGATGAGGGCTGGAGGGGCAGCTTTCTCCTGGGCAGAAGTGCTGGTGGAGGCCGTTGTTCCCTTGGTGAGCCCTTCCCCCACAGGGCAGGCAGACAGCCGCCATATCTGGGACTCCAGCAACCTGGCTCACACTGGTAGCCCCGCCCTGGTGATTCCCTGAGGCCCCACCCTACCCAACTTTCGGGGCCACCCAAGCTGTTTCCAAAGGCCATACCACAGGATTGGCCTGCCTTTGATCCTGCTTCAGAGTTTTCTAAAATCTCTCAAACAAGCAGCATCTGGTCTCAGCAAGCCCCATACCTCTTGTTAAGTGGCCCCAGGCCTGACACTAGAAGCAGCCAGCCTTGGTTCACAACTTGGTTTTTCCTGGGCACCTCCAAGCCCAGCATAAAAAGTAGCCATCTGGGGATCACTTTGTAGCTTATGCTCATGGCCCTGGATAGAGCACAGGCAGTGGCTGATCTTGCCCCAGAGCTAGCACACCCAGTGGACAGCTTCAGACCACATCAAAGCACCACTATCCAACCACCTCCATAAGTGACAGCCTCAATGAGTGGACTCAGTGGGTATCAGAGCCCTACTAAAGTAAGTCTTGTTCTGTGTGGTGGGCCCCTACACAGCTGATCCTCCAATGTGGTCAGAGGTCGATGATCAGCCAGTCCTTGCAGATGATTAGCCTGAGTAAATCCCTCCCATTGATTGCCAACAGCAATCAAGACTCAATTACAAGAGAAGGGTGTACAGTCCACAGTAGGGTGCACCACAAGGGCATAGCTGGGGTGATCAGGGAAACTGTGCCACTGGATCCTACAGGACACCTACAACAGTAGGCCACCCTACAAAGCCTAGGAGGCATAGCAACTCTGCCTAATACATAGAAACAATCACAGGGAAGCAGCCAGATGAGAAGACAAAGAAACATGTCCCAAATGAAAGAAAAGAACAAAACTCCAGGAAAAAACTAAACAAAATGGAGATAAGCAATCTAACAGATGCAGAGTTCAAAACACAAGTTATAAGGTTGCTCAGGGAACTGGGTGAGACACACAAGGGATTTAGTGAAACCTTCAAGGAACTTAAGGAGACCTCCTAGGAACTTAGTGAGAACATCAACAACATAAAAAAGGACCAGTCAGAAATGAAGGAGGCACTAACTGAAATAAAGAATAATTTGCAGGGAATCAATAGTAGAGTAGATAAAGCCAAGAAGCAAACCATCAATTTGGAATATAAGGAAGCAGAAAACAGCCAACCAAAACAGCAAAAAGAAAAAAGAACAAAAAAATGAGGATAGTGTAAGGAGCCTCTGGGACAACTTCAAGTATGCAAACATTAGCATCATTTGGGTGCCTGAAGAAGAAGAGAGAGAGCAAGAAATTGAAAAACTATTTGAAACAATAATGACAGAAAACTTCCCTAAGTTGGTGAAGGAAAGAGTCATACAAGTCCAGAAAGCACAGAGTCCCAAACAAGCTGAACCCAAAGAGGTCCACACCAAGACACATCATCATCAAAATGCCAAAGGTTAAGCACAAAGAGAGAATCTTAAAAGCAGCAAGAGGAAAGCAGTCTGTTACCTACAAAGGAACTTCCATAAGACTGTCAGCTGATTTTTCAAAAGAAACTTGAGGGTCAGAAAGGAGTGGCAAGAGATATTCAAGGAGATGAAAAGCAGTGACCTACAACCAAGAATACTCTATCCTGCAAAACTATCATTTAGAATCAATGAACATATCAAGAGTTTCCCAGACAAGAAAAAGCTAAAGGAATTCATCACCACCAAACCAGTATTATATGAAATGTTGAAGGGTCTTCTTGAAGGCGAAGAAGAACAAAAATATGAACAATAAAATGGCAATTAATACATGTCTATCAACAACTGAATCTACAAACAAAATGAGCAAGCCGAACAGAAACAGACTCATAGATACAGAGAACTTTTTATTGCTTGCCAGATGGATGGGGGCTGGGGAGCTGGGTGAAAAAGATAAAGAAATTTAGTTGTACAAATTGGTTATTAGACTGATGAACTTCAAAGAGAAGGGGGTGGGAGAGTGAGATGAGATAAACCAAAAAACTTCTATGCATATATTCATAACCAATGGACACCGACAATAGTGTGGAGAAGGCAGGAGGGGGTGGGATTGGGGAGGAGGAGTCAATGGGAAAAAAAGGGAGAAACAGCTGTAATACATTAAGCTACAAAGATGAGTTAAAAAAAAGAATATAAATCAAGCATTCATGATAGTATTCACAATAGTGCAATTAAATAGATATTAAATTATGTGTTCTTTCATTTTATAAAATCTAGAATTGTATATGTTTTAGCCATGACATTCCAGGGCTTCAATATCATCTCATTTTAGTTATGATAGAATTTCAACTACTGATAATATCAATAATAAAAATTACAGAATTTTAAAACAAAATTATCACATTTTATATCTAGACCTAGTTGTTTTTGTTTTAACCTTTATTTTCTATTTGGGTTCTTCTTGTATTTCATGGCGAAAATAATTCCAGATTCATTTCTATTTATAGACTAATAAATAAGTGCCAAATGTTGGGACGCAGCCCAACTCCTCAGTTTATTGCATCTTTTCTGTGTTTAGATCATTTTCACTCGATAACAACGCAGTCAGTAAAATAAAAAGTTCTTGATAATAACGGTCAGTAAAATAAATGTGGTTTTTAATATTTATTATTTTGAAACATTCATGAAATTTAATAGTAGTCAAATAAATTTATATAAAAATAAGTGCCTTTTTTCTAACATGATGAGTGCAGTTGTTAAGTTCAGTTATTTATAACAAAAAAGTAGCTTCACAAGGTAGAGGGCAATGATAGACCCACATCAGTTTCATCTCTGCAGCTCTCAGATATAATTTGCAGTGGCACAACAAAAGAATACAGTCACATTCACGATGCGAAGGGTATGTTACACAATTAAACTGAAGTTGACAGTGTGAGATGTAACTCACATCTCCGTCTACAGCATGAGACCAGATTAACACTCAAGAGAACGGCCCTTGACCACAGTTACAGTATCAACAGAGTAGAACTAGAGTTGACAGTAGAGAGCCTTTCCTTCCTGATAGCCTCCTGATCTTTGGAATGAAAACTTTATGTTAATTACATCTATATTTTTCTTCTTGTTTAGAGCCAAACGATGAGTTATGGATTGGCTTAAATGACATCAAGATTCAAATGTATTTTGAATGGAGTGATGGGACCCCAGTCACCTTTACCAAATGGCTTCGTGGAGAACCAAGCCATGAAAACAACAGGCAAGAAGACTGCGTTGTGATGAAAGGCAAGGTGAGGCAACTTTAAAGACTAATATCTAGCAAAATCCACTGGGAATTCCCCCCATTTAGAGTTGTTCAGATTGTTTCCAGTCTAGTTTAATTGACATAGATCAAGGTTGAACCAAAATTAAGATTCCATTTCTTGAATCTCTCTCAATTGTTTAGCAAAGTCAAATTTTTAAGAGGCCCAGAAAAGAAACCAACAAAAACTTTTGGGTCAAGGTTGAAATTTATCAATAACCAATGCTCATACGTCGTTCTTGTGCTGGGTTCTAAATGCTGCCATATATATATATGGCTTGACTAATCAATCCAGAGCTTTGGTTCTGCTTTCAACTAGTTGCTCTGAGTAGATACAGACCTAGTTAGATCTATTCTGGGTTTCATAGCCTGGAATCTATGCTTCAAGAGCAACACTAGTTTTTGTTGATTGCATGGAGATGCCAAATATGAAAAGATCCCTCTAAACATTGGGTCAGATAGCTAAGATATAAAAACATATTGGGGCTCTAATCTCCTTTACATCTTTTTTGAGTTATCTTTATGGTTGAAAAATTTACAGATGTCCCTCCTCTTTAACCCCCATTGGCCCCTCCCCCTCACTTTCCTCCCTCCCCTCTTCACCTCACTATTGTTCGTGTTCATTGGTTATGCATGTATGCAAATACGTTGTTTGGTTTATCTCTTCTCATCCCCCTGCCCCTTATATCACTGTAGCTAGAGTCAAATTTGCTGTTTACAAGAAAATGGCAATTTACATTTTCTTCACATAGATGTCATTTTCTCTTAATAACCTCGAGAGAAAAACAACTTTATTTTCTGAGACACACTTATGAGAAAATAGTGTCAAAATCAAACAACTGATAATCATTTTTTCCTGTTTGCTTTCTGCAGGATGGGTACTGGGCAGATAGGGCCTGCGAGCAGTCTCTTGGCTACATCTGTAAAATGAAATCACAAACCCATGTGCCTGGGATAATAGAAGTGGAGCCAGGCTGCCGGAAGGTGAGTCCAGATGTACACAATAGTTTCAGATCAGCAGATATTATATACTTGGCTTCATTTTTGCCTGAGAAAGTACTTTATTACTATCACGGATAGCCAAATGTTTCAACTGTTTAACAATTTAATGGTTTATTGTTAGTGTTTTGTGTCATTGTTCTCCCTGACGCCTTCTTCAGGTGTTCTTGACAGTTAATCTAGGGCATGTGTAGTCAGTTGCTCCTTTCAGAATGGTGGGGGAGTTGGGGGGAATAAAATGACATGAGGAATGGAGCCTGGAGAGGGTAACAAGATTAAGGCAGGTCATGGGACAAGGTATCATTGAGGTACTGGTTGTCTATGACCCTGTATATTGTCAAGGACATTCCTAGTAGATAACCTTAAGGTGCAGATAGCAAACAATCCTTAGTCACTTTTCCATTTATAATGTTTCTGATGAGCCTACTTCCGGTGGGGATTCCTTCCTCCTGGTAGTCATTGCATTGGGAGGAGGAGACCTAAATTCTAGCTGGTGGTGGGTGGCAGTAACTGCTTTAAACTATTGGACACAGCCATGCACTCCTACTGTGCGTCAACCTCACCTGTGTAACAGTTAGCAATAACCCCTGTGGGTCTTATATTTTTTTGAGGTTCAAGTGTATGATCTCTGTAAAACAATTTCTAAAAGTGAAAAGAAATGACAAAATCCAGGGTGCATGGTTATCATTTTCCTGTTTGATTGCTGAGTCGACCATCTTCCTCATTTTTTCTTTCTCACTTCTCTTGGATAAAAATAAAGTAGAAATGAACTTTCTTTCCAAGAGTGTCATGCTGTGATCAAATCATCTTATAACAAACACCAGCAGGCTGAGAATTCATGAAATGTGATTCAACACTGTACAAATAAACCATAAAGAAACATGGAGCAGATCCAGAAAATCACAGGCTGTTGGAGATATATAGGATCTTAGTGATGATCAAAATTCCCCTTTCAGTTCTTGCATTTTGGGAATTTCAGTTCAGAGAAGCGCTAACTTTCTGAGTCACACAGAAGCAAGACGAGACTCCAGTCTCCTGTCGCCAGATCACTGTACTTTCAATGCTGGTGTCATTCCCGGTACACTTATATATTCTTTGCCTAATCGTACGCGTATACAGGAGGTTGTGTATTACTGTAATTTTCTATGAATAATAAATAATCCTCAAATTTTATTACTTCTGTGCAACTAATCTGTTATGCATAGAGTCTATGAATCCTTTTTAAAAGTTGTTTTTATTTTTATTTACTGATATGAAAGAGAGAGGAAGGGGGAGAGGGAGCAGGGGGGAGAGAGAGAAAAACAGAGAGAGAAACAGTGATTTGCTGTTCCACTTATCCATGCATTCACTGGTTGCTTCCTATATGTGTCCTGACTGGGGATCGAACCCGCAACCTTGGCCTGTCAGGACAATGCTCTAACCAACTGAGCTAATGAGCCAGGACAATTAACTCTTATATCTATAATCAGATAGAATCCAATTTAGTCATTAAGATGGTAATAGAAAAATAGGAAAAAATTTTAATAAGCAATTGTTTGTCAAGTGCAGTTATTATGCTCTCATTGATTTTAAAGGACAGATGTTATATTCCTAATTAGATAGAAGAGGAAACTGAAACTCAGAGATATTCAGTAGTTTGGCCAGTTTTTTTTTTTTTTTATTTATTTTTAATTTTTTTAATTTTTTATTTTTATTCCTCCCCCGAGGACATTTTTCCATTTTTTTGTACAGATAGAGTGGGAGGGAGAGAGAGAGAGAGAGAAACATCGACGTGAAAGAGACACATCGAGTGGCTGCCACCCGCACAACCAACCAGGGCCGGGGACAAACTGCAACCAAGGTACACGCCCTTAGCGGGAACCGAACCCGGGTCTCTCCAGACCGCAGGCCGATGCTCTAACCGCTGAGCCAAACCGGCCAGGGCAAGTTTGGCCAGTTTTTAAACCTGCTCTAGGCAGTGACTTCCTCAAAGAGCTGGGAAGACTAAAGAAAAAAACATCCACTCACCAGCAAAGGAGTATAAGAGTGTGTGTGTGTGTGTGTGTATGCGCGCGCGCGTGCCTGGACACTAGTGGTGTAGGGTCTTTTTGAGAATTCAGAATCACGGGTCTCTTGTCATATTGATCTGGGATTCAATTTTCAATTCATTGCTTACCTTTGTGAGAAACATTGAGCTAAGAAATTAACATAAAGTGGTCCTGAGTTGCTAATATTCTAGGATGTCTACCGATGCAATGTGAATTCTCTTTATACAGAAGTCTCTTTTTCCAGGCTAAGAGTCCCACAGATGAGTTTAAATTTTAAAAATATAAGATATAGCACCAGGAGCTTTAGAGGATGGAATTAATGGATATGATATTAAAATGAATATGTTTTAAAATGCTTACAAAAGTGAAAGTAGTGATTGAAGCCATGGAACAACCACCACGCATTGTTATACAGTGTTTTATTATGATTCAATCCCTAATATTTTTATTTCCATTAAGATTTCTTTGACCCAGGAATGATGTAGAAGTGCGCGCGCGTGTGTGTGTACATATGCATATGTATGTTGATAATGATGGGGGTTTTGGTAATAGTGATGGAGGTTTTGTTTGTTTTCTGTTTCTAAATAATTGGGGGGTACTATTGATTTTAATTTCCCTGTACTGTGAGCTTATAACATTTGTTGTTGTTGTTGTTGAGATTTTCTTTATGGTCTGGTTCATAGTTGGTTTTTGTAAATATTCCATATGTACTTGAACAGAATGATCTTTGCTAATTGGGTTCAGAGATGTGTATATGTTGACTAGATAAAATTTAGCAATTATATTATCCAGATATTCTATACTTCTAATATTTTGTCTGCTGCACAAAATATTCTTCTTGTCCTTCTGCCAATTTTTGCTTTATATACTTTGATCTGTGTTATATCTTCCTGATGAATCAGTTCTTTAATTATGGAATTACTTTTTTTTATTCATAATAATGCTTTTTTTTAATCACAAAGTTAATTTTAACTAATATTGTTACAGAAGATATCTTTTGCTTGGTGTTTCCCTAGAATCTCTTTTTCCAGCTAATTGCTTTTAATCACTCTGTTTTAAGAATGGTTCTCGTAAGTGTATATGTGCATTTTCATATTTAATCTAATTTGAGATACTCTGGCTTGTAACTGGCAGACATGAGTTTAGATTTGTTTTACATACTAATATATTTGGATTAGTTTCTGCCATCTTATTTTGCGCATATTTTGTTGTCCATTCCATTTTATTATCCTTTTTCTCCTTTCGTGCACCCCATTGTTTCTATTGAGTATTTTTACTCCATTTTTCTCTTCTATGCATTTGGGAATTATACATTCTAGTACTGTTTTTCAAATGGTTAACCTTATGCTTTTAACATGTATTCCTGACTTGAAGTTAAAATTATTCAGCATCTCTGGTTCCTGAACAAAATTAAGATTATTATTCTACTTTAACATTAATTTTTTAATTTTTGAAAAAAAAAAGTTAGACTCACAAGAAAGTTGAAAACAAACAAACAAACAAACAAAAAAACAGCACTTGAAATTCCGCTTTATCATTCACTGCAAAGATAACATCTTATCTAACTAGGTACATGATCACAGCCAGGTAATTGACATGGATACAATATTACTAACTAAAGTGCAGATCTTGCTCAGATTCCATTATTTAACTTCCCACAGTCAATCAGTTAGATCTGGATTTGCACAGGCAATTAGATCTGGATTTACTAAGATGCTTATTGATTTCTTTGCTCAATGTAGACTTTTAGCCCACTCAGTGCTGGTGATTTAAAATTCCTTCTTGCCAAAGTAAATCTTTCAGAAGTTCTCCCAGTGGTGCTCTGAGAGAGGAAAACACTCTGTCTTTGAAAATGTCTTGAATTTATCCTCACCCTGCATAATAACGTAAACAGGTCATTTTAGAATTCTAGATTGACAGCTGTTTTCTGACAGCACTTTATATATTATTTTACTTTCTCCTGGCCTTTATTTTTGCCATTGGAATTCCTGTTTTTTGAGTAACCCTTCCATTTCAAAAAATGAGTCTTCTATATTTTCTCTCTAGTTGATTTTAAGATCTCATCCTTGTTATTCTGCAGGTTTGGTATGATGTGTTGAGATTTGGATTGATTTTATTGGTTCCGTCTCCTGACGGCCGGGCTGATGGCGATGTCCTAACCTGTGTGGACAGGAAGCCCAGCCCGAGACGCCAGTGCCCTGATCTAGGCTCGCTGCACCCTGGGCTGTCTCAGCTCGTGTGCTTTCCGTTTCAGCTTTTAGGTTTCTATTCCTTTTTGGGACCTGGAGATCTCCCCTCCTACCTCTCAAACTCTAGTATGGCTTTTGTGTTGGTTGTTATGTTTTTATTTAGCATCTCCGTGTGTGACAAGTGTGGACGGGGAACCATGTTGCCGGAAGTTTGATAAATACTCTCCTCTGACCAGTGATACGGCTTTATGCTCACCACCTGCTATTGGCTCCATAGGCAACCAGGGTTGCCATTCTGCAAAGTATTTTCTGTAGTTGCCTGTTCTGAAACCGAAATCTTAGCCATTCTGTTCAGTTGCCTTGCTAAACATTTTGGCAAGTCATTTTGTGGGAGAATGCTTCAGAAGGACAGAGAATGACTGCCCCCCAACTTTGGATCATAATTGGTCATATGAGGAAAAACTCACTCCTGTTTTTTTTATTCATAGAAATGATTTTCATTGCATTTCAAATTATTCAGATTTGTGTTCTTTTAGTTCTCTTGTTTATCAATCTATGTTTCAAGATAGAGGGATTATTAAAAATAATATTTAATAAATATGTGTGATAACATAATCTGCTTGATAACATTAATAGGGCTGGAAAAGACATGGCTTCTACTGCTATCTGATTGGACACACACTTTCAACCTTTGCAGAAGCAAACCAAACCTGTGTGAATGAGAAGTCTTACCTAACAACGGTTGAAAACAGGTATGGAATAATTTTAATCTTATTTTAAAATGTCAAATAATGAAAAGTTTTCAGGAAAGTCCAGGTATCAATGTGCTCTAAATTTCTGAGTAAATTACATGTGATCATGAGGTATGGTTTGTAAAAGCAGAAGATGAAAAATCATATTCTTATTTGATTTCTTCATTGCAAAGATTTTACAATATTTTGCTACTTTTAGTTCTATAAAGCAATATTCAGAACTGTTTATTAATACTCAGTAAATGTAATTTATGGAGCTAACATTTTCTGATATGTCAATTTTTTGAAGCAGAAAAAATAAGTAAAAATGTTCAGCTGAAAAATCCCACTTTCTATCTTTACTATATTTTCCACCAAAAAAGAGGGCAGAGGTTTTCTGAATATTTTATTCATTTTCCCCATTCTTTCATTATTTTCTTTTCTTTCCTAGGTTTACTAAACTGATAGAGCAAAAAAATCATATGACATATAAAATTTTATATAACTTCTGACTTCTAGAGTCCCAGCCATTTTTTAGATTTTAGTGTTTATTCAATTTCCCCTACTGTTTGCAAAGCACTGGAATAAGCCCAGGAGAAACTTAAAAGAAAACTTAAAATGTCCATGTTATTTGCAGTAAAAGGGAAAATATTATTGAGTTTTAGTTCATTAATTTATAATTGTTGGCCTTTTAAGGCAGATTTAATAAAATATAGATGCTATTGATATTGAAAATCCTTTGATCAAAATGAAAGATGTGATAGAATTTGTAGTCTTTAAAGAGAACCTGTATTTTAACCTACATCCTTTCATGTACAATTAAATATCTAATACAGTGTCACCCTGACACAATGCTAACATCTGGAAATCAGAACATAGATACTTTTTACCTTATGACAAAGAGATGAGCCGCCCATCTCTAAGTAAGGTGGGGACAAGTTCCGATCTGCACTGTCATTAATCCTTCGGTCTACTGGAGCGGAGATTTTCCCACATTTCATATTTGATGTATGTTTTCCTTTCTGTTTTCAATGATATTTCTATTCAGAGGGTCACTAACTCCGTGGTTAAACTTATTTTGTAGACATTTAAGAAAAATTGACTTTGGAACTATATGTATATTTGGCTTGTTCGGTTTAGGGAATGGAATTACGCAGTGTAGGGTCAAACCCATGTTCTGTTACTGTAGCTTCCTCTGCATTTCCCTGTCTGCTCTGTCTGGAGTCACCCACGCCTCTCCGTTCCTGGAGACTTGGGACACCACTTCTCCTTGGCTCCAAAGAGAGATTTTTGTCTATCTTGCTGCCTCATTGTCTAGTGTTTGTCAATCAAGACAAACTGATTCCTTCACTAACCACATTGTATTCTGCCAGATACACAGATGAGATCCAAAGGGAGAGAAAATGTTGGGATTTGTGATTCTGCTCCCAGTTCTTTCTAGAGATTGAATCTCTGCTTCTCTGCATTTCTTGATAATTTTCTGTTTCTGAGCATAGATATGAGAATGCAGTTGAGGGGGAAATCCACATAGACTTTCCCACTGTGTCATCCTTGATAATATTAGGAGCCCTCAACCAAAAATTGTGCAGAGCATTTGAAGTATTTGAAAAGTGGACTGATTTTTAAACAGCGTATTTTAAAATGCTATGGGTTTCTTTGCATTTTCAGAATTCTCTTACATTTTGAGAAGGGCAGAGGGGCTGATGCGGAATAGAGAGCAGTGATTTGAGTATATTTAAATGATTTTATTCATTCGGCTGTATGGGACTTTTCCTTCATGAGAGCATATTTTCTTAGTGAACATTTGCACAATGTAAATGATGCATAAATATAACAAAATATGTTTGGGTTACCAACTAAATCATAGCTCAAATGTAGAAATGAGAGACATTGAAAATGAGAAAAATTTACATCAGTATTTCTAAAATTGGGTTTAATTATTAAAATTTTTTTATTATTATTATTGCTTTTTAGATATGAGCAAGCCTTTCTAACTAGTTTCGTTGGACTGAGGCCTGAAAAATATTTCTGGACAGGACTTTCAGATGTACAGAACAAAGGGACCTTTCAGTGGACCATCGAGGAGGAGGTTCTGTTCACTCACTGGAACTCAGACATGCCAGGTGTGTGAGCTTTGGGCTGGGGTTTGCATCACTGCGCCGTCCATCGGGCAAAGCCTGTTATTTCCTTGTGTTCCTGCCCAAATGGACGATGTAAATTAATTGTGCTCTCAGTATTTTCTGTTCTGTTCTCTTTTCTTTCTTTTTTTTTTTTTTTATCCTCACCCGAGGACATTTTTCCATTTTTTGTACAGATAGAGTGGGAGGGAGAGAGAGGAAGGAGAGAGAGAGAGAGAGAAACATCGACATGAAAGGGACACATCGAGTGGCTGCCACCCGCACGACCAACCAGGGCCGGGGACAAACTGCAACCGAAGTACGTGCCCTTAGCGGGAACCGAACCCGGGTCTCTCTGGACCGCAGGCCGACGCTCTAACCGCTGAGCCAAACTGGCCAGGGCTGTTCTCTTTTCTTAAAAATTCAATTCGTTTGCAATGGTCTGGGAAAACTGCTGGGTTATCGGCTACTGCTCTTTTGAAAAATATTTATGAAATCCTAAATGGTCACATATATTTCAGATGGCTAACTTTTATTTGAAAGCTTAAACTCTGCTAAAGGGACATAAACCATTTCAGGGCCACTGTGACTAGAGATACCAGTGTGCTTGAGTTGGTGGAGCAAAAGGTAGGCTTACGTGGGACTCAGTTCTGTACCTGGTATGTGCTGTCCTGTTTAGTCCTTTATATGAGCTGGATTTTACTTTATCTTTATAAGAAACGTCCAAGGTAAATTTATGTATCTTCATTTTAAAGATGTGGAAACTGGGAATCAAAGTTTATGTGACTAGAAAGCTTCCGACCACATTTAGTCTAATCTGTGTAATTCCCAAATCTGTGCTGCGTGCACCGATACCACCTGCCTCCCTGTACATGCTGATTTGCTTGCCTCGTGAGTAGCTTCTGAAAGGGCCTCTGAAAGGTTCTTTGCCTTCTTTATACATTTGTATCATAGCCTATGACCCTGGTGTAACAACTCCCGGGAAATCCAACATCCTGTATAGCAAATGTTTCTAGAGCCTGGGCAAAGAGCTAAAGAAGGAACAATAACTTAAGTGTATGAATTGACTGGTTAGCCTAAAATGTCCTAATCTTCAGGAGTTCTTTTCATTCTTATTCCCAGCTCTAAATAGGGTAAATAGATCAGTAATTTGGATAGTGTAATTCTTTTTTAATTATTGAATGTTCTGAAAAATAGTAAGACTTGAGTTCATTTTTAAATAGCTGAGAATATATTAAGAACTGAGCCCTGGCTGGTTTGGCTCAGCGGTTAGAGCGTCGGCCTGCGATCCAGAGAAAGAACTGAGTGAACACTTAAAAAAATATTGGTAGGAATGGTAGTTATTACTCTAGGACAAACTCCTTAATTTTGCTGGTGGTGTTCATTCAGCCGTGGGAGCTGGAAACACTGATCCTGGAGTGTTCTTAGAGGACAAAAGCGGATGAAGCTGAAGCCGTAGGGAATCAGGGATCTTCATGAAAATATTTTGGAAAAGACGGACCTCCCTAGAACTTTGAGAGTTACTCTAAAATACTTAATGTCCTTTAAATGAATAATAATTAAAGATGACCTCATCTCAGCAGAAAGAATCCTAATGTTTTCAAAGCTCTGTCATAATTACTACTGGGAAATTATCATAACTGCAAAACAGAATTACAATCTATTAAGCTTGACATAGTCCTCCTTTTATTTTATGTATTTTTTTTATCCATGAAAAAATGCATTACCACTCTGTAAGGTAGGCAGTGATCATTGCATTTTAAGATGGGCAACAAGTTCAGAGTGACTGAGTAGCTAACCCTAACTGAAATCTTTCACTCCAATGATCTCATTTTGAAGTCTGTAACAAACTTCTGTTCCAGGACACAAACCCTCGGAGGGGGGGAAAAGGGATCTTAAATATTTATTTTTAAAAAGAAAGAAATGTTAAACCACTGTTTTTGCCATTATAGTAAATTGTATTATGCTAAAATGGTTGTATTGTTAAATGTCTTGGGGGGGGGGGGCCCTACTGGATGTTAGAAATGCAAAGTGTTATCAAAACCCTGACCTTTGAGATCATAATTCATTTGGAGACACAGGCCACACAAATAAAGGAAAATAACGATTAAAAAAAGCACAGAGAAATTGCCAGATGCCACAGGCTCTCTCCCCTTCATTCCCTCATCACACAGTCCACGCTCAGGTTTGGCCTGTCTCTTGCAAACATGGTTGGCCTTCAGCAGCAACCTGTTAAGTGAACTCTCTGTATTTAACCCAGGGAGAAAACCAGGGTGTGTTGCCATGAGAACTGGCATCGCAGGAGGCTTGTGGGATGTTCTGAGATGTGAAGAAAAGGCAAAATTTGTGTGCAAACACTGGGCAGAAGGAGTCACTCGCCCACCGGAGCCCACAACAACACCTGAACCCAGATGTGCAGAGGACTGGGGCACCACCAGTAAAACAAGCTTGTGTTTCAAGGTAAGTCGCAATTGCAAAGCTACTAAAGAATTTGAAATATCCTTCAGCCTAAAGAATCAGCTAAGAAATTTAAACCAAACCAAACTGAATGCCACCATGCTCTCAGGACCTCTGTGATTCAATCCAGAGGACTGATAACAGTGAAACAGAATCCACAGTGACACACACTGTGACACTCACGTGTGCTCCCATAGTTGTGAACGTAGGCCTCTGTAAAGAAAACAGACAAGGCAGTTTTGACACCACCAACGAAGGGTCGAAAGGCTGCCTGCCAGGTTATTCTTTGTTCCAGTCTGACAGGCTAACTATCTGTGGCACGATCTTAGAGAAGTTGTTCTCCTTAAATTTTTTGTTATTCATGTATACTTTCCCTGTATCAAAAGTTTCTTTGCATCTTTTCCTGTCTCAACGCTACATTTCATACTTAACCAAATTAATCCTGTCTTCTACAATGAGCTGTATGCTTAATCCATATGCCTAAAGCTTCTAAGATGTTAATCTAATTTCTCCTGTACGATTACATAATTTTAGTTTTAAGGTTTTCTCAACAAAATCACCCCCCAAATTTTGTTACCTCAATAGTCACCCATACATTGATTTTTAACCAAGAGAATTATACTGTGTGGGGCCATTGCAATGTCTTGCTTTTCTATAAAGGACATCCCATCAAAAGTAATTAATTATTTCCCTTGAGTTGATAAGCAATGAAGTGTGAAATAACTCCTGAAACCATCTCATTTTAGCTGTTTACAAAAGGAACCCATGAGAAGAAGACATGGTTTGATGCTCAAGATTTCTGTAAAGCTCTGGGTGGAGATCTAGCGAGTATCAATAACAAAGAGGAACAGCAGACAATTTGGCGATTAATAACGTAAGTATCTTTTCTACATAATACTCTTTTCTTTTGTTGACTTGGTGCTAATGATGTTGAGAAAGTGTTAATGATTCCGAAATGGTTGGCTTCTGTTGCTTCTTTGAATTGATATATCATATTCCAAATACATGGGTGCTTTTTCATCTAGTTTTATTTCTAAATGCCTTAATTTTATATAAATCCTGCGATGAGTGGCTCTAGAAACGTACGACACTAAATACATATTGTCAAATGAATAACCAGATAACTATCTTTCGGGGCTTTGTATTTACTTATTCTCAAACAGCGGCTTGATTTTAGGATATTTATGGGGTCTACCAAAATGCACACCTATCGAATAATGCTTATACTTAATCATTGAATCTCTTTATCTGTGTACTAACTAGTTTTTATTTTGGAGGTAACCTTCGAATTTGATTAGTCTTCATAGGTAACCAAACTTGTTTCACGCATAAGCCTTCTTCATGTCTTGTATATTGTAGGACTAGTGGAAAGTACCACGAACTGTTTTGGTTGGGCTTGACACATGGAAACCCTTCAGAGGGCTTTACTTGGAGTGATGGTTCTCCTGTGAGTGATTCGATTTAATATATCATTTTCTTACTTTATTGTGTAGTATATATTTTTATGATAGCTAGAGACATTTTGCTATGAAGAATAAATACTATTTTAGGCTTATTTATTGTGTCCCTGCCCCAGTATAGTTCTCCTATTCACCCAAGGTGAAATCATGTAGACCAGATGAAAGAAAACATAGGACACTCATTCTTGTAGTTTACGTAAAATAAGGAACTTGGGAATTATGGTATATTTTATGGATCCATTGATATTTGCATTTTATATATTATATCTCTAAAAAATAGATCATAATGCTTAGTCTAGAACCCTGTGGACCATGATTCCACATTGAAAACTCCACAGGGGACCTAAAGCCAGCCCCCCAATTACTTCCACTGTTCATTTTGGTAGACATCGGTAGCTTTGTTAGCAGTATGTCACAGGTCTGCTTCTTCTGTAAAAAGAATGAATACATGTCTTTATGCTACCCATCTGGTAAAGAGAAAGTTCCCAACATCACACTGAAATGTCATCCCTTAAGAACGGGTTATAAATGTAGGAGCTTGCTTTGCTAAGTTTTTTCTATGTATAAATCCCACTTTTGTGGCCCTAGAGCCATTCTACTTAACGAGAGTAAAGAAAATTTTAAAAGAATCAATAGCAGACTCTATTCAACTTCAAAAGTTTCCATGTAATGGAAGCTCTTTCCCATCCACGTTTCTAAATCTTGCTTCAGAAGCAAAGGTTCTGAAAAAAGGAAATGGATTTAAAAATGTAAATATATCTTTCTTTCCTGTTTGGGTAAATGAGTGGCATTGGGCTGATATAAATGGTGGCTATGTAATGTTTCTGACATAGGTTTCCTATGAAAATTGGGCTTTTGGAGAACCTAATAATTATGGAAATACTGAATACTGTGGAGAGTTGAAAGGCGACTCTTCTATGTCCTGGAATGATATTAACTGTGAACATCTTAAGAACTGGATTTGCCAGATACATAAAGGTATGATAACCCGTTCTTTCCTTTATCTTAGCTCGAAGGGCTAACCTCCTGACATCTCAATATCTTCCCTTTATTAGCGGAACCAAACAAACAAAATAAAAAAGAAAGAAACTGGCTGGAGCCATCATTTCACAGGATGAGAATGAGGTTGCTGAACACAGATAAATGTTCCAAAGGAACAGAAGATCAAAAGGCCACCCGGGGATCCTAGACTAGAGTCACGTCCTTGGGAGCAGTTCCCATGAGCTGTGCTTTCTGGCTTAGTTTCGACAGTGGTAGGAGCGGGTGTTTTACTCCGTGACCAGAGCAGTTACTATACCATTTCTTTTTTTTGAATGGTCACCCTTTGACCTACATTAGGTGAAAAATTTCCTAAGTCCAAATGTTCTAAGTATGATTTCTCAAGGAGATGTTCAATACAAAGAACAGACACCATTTGGAGGACCCACCATGTTATCAATGGTCAAAAAATAGCAGGGCATGCTATCAGTCATGACCTTGACTCAAGAAGTCCCACAGATCCAAGTCAGGCATGGAGGTCAGAGGAACCAGACTCTTATGTTTAAATAAAAAACCAAATAGACTCACCCTTGAACCAAAATACACATCAACTTGTTTTTGTAAACAGATAAAGGGAACCATGTTGCCTTCTGCTGGGAAACCTTGGACACTGTCTCAGACCTACTGCTAGAGACACAGTGTTGCTGTCTGACTGCTTATTTTTCTTACTCCTTCTGCTTAGAGAAGTGTTTTCAAAGTGGAGGAATCAGTAGTGGCCAGATTTTCTTGAAAGTTCTAGCTACAAATGGTTTTATTATGTCTTTTTTTCTTATTTATCATGAATACTTCTAGTCTTATGCATGTCGAATATATTAAACCAAAAGCTAAGTAACCTGAGTCCTCTTATCAGATTCCAACAGAGTCCAGATATATCCACGATGACTTGGAAAGAAAATTATTTAAATTTTAGTAAGACATACATTGAATAAAAAATAAGATTCTTTGAAGAAAGTATACTTCATAAATAAATAGTTCACATCAAATAATTTCAAATAATGAAATTTTAAGTGATTTCACAGCTAATTATGTGTGAATGTAAAAATAACATCTATTGAGCACCTTCGAAATACCAGTAACTCACACATCTTACCCACCTATTTACACATATTACTGACTCCCTTTTACAGCTGACAAAATTAAGAGTAAGCATTTGAAACCCAGATCTGGGATTTCTGATTCCTAAACTCATGTTCTTTCCTTTCTGTTCTGTGACATGCTTGCTGGGCCCAGAAGCTCCCTTTGGATTTCTGGTGGCTGCTATTGCACCTACTTTTTAAGCTCTTCACTCCGACTTCTGGTCTCCTCCTCCACCGCATGACAGGAGATTTGGAAAGTGGAAGCCAAGGGGCGTGGGGGTGGGGGAACAAAGAAGTGTTTAGCTAAATTGAAAACAGTGAAACTAGAAGAATCTATAATAGCCCAAGTGCAGCATATTGTATATTAATTTTGTTTTGTTTTCCAGGACAAACACCAAAACCTGAGCCAACACCAGCTCCTGAAGACAGTAAGTGTTTTCTTTTCTGATCTCCATATTGATAGCCTTTCTTCCCCTCTCTCCTCTCACAATGGAAAAAGTACTTGCCCTAAGAACGCAGAGAGCAGGAGTTCCTACTATCTTTGAGAACCTCATGCAAGTTTGGATCTTTCTCTGCAGACAGATGCTCAAGAGCGCAAGCATCAGGCAGTTGTTAGTACAATGCGTGTGAATGAATCAAATCCGAGAGCACGTGCTCCTTCTTGAGCGCATGTGTTCGCTTCTGAGGGCTGCTGTGACAAATTTCCATCACGTGGTGGCTTCAAGTCACAGCCATTCCTTCCCTGACAGTTCTGGAGGTTGGAAATAGGAATTCAGTGTCACTGGGCTGAAATCAAGGTGTTGGCAGGACCGTCCTCCCGCCCGAGGCTCAGAGTGAGGATCTATCTCCGTGCCTTCACCAGCTCCCAGAGCGAGCCCTGCGCTTGTTTCTGGCCCTTCCTCCATCCTCAGGCCTGCAGGGTGGCGTCCTGCTTTGCTTGTCACGTTGCTTTCTTCTTGGGCAGGCAGATCTCCTCTGCCTCCCTCTATCAAGTCACTTGAGATGACATTCAGGGCTCACCCACATAACCTAGGGAAATCTCTCCATCTCCCTTAACTTAATCACACCTACCAGGTGCCTTTTCTGTATAAGGTAACACTCACAGATCCTAGAGATTAGGATCTAGAGATCTTTGGGGCTCTAATTCAGCCTACATGAGCACAGAATCACAGAATCACAGAATCACAGAATGGTATGGTTTGGCGGAAGCCGTCGGAGCCCTCCTGCTTTGTGAATTCTTTGGTTCTCCCTTTGGACTGAAACACCCAAGTCCATCTGTTACAAACTCTTTGTTATAGTAAGAGGAACATTGCTTTCTCACAGCCTCCGCTCCTTAAACCTAGATCATCACGGGTGCACGGATGTAAATCCTTCCAGCTACGGGCTCCTATTGATGAAAGTAATGCCGGGAGTTCCTTTACCCAGTAGAGATACATGAAACTTAGTTGGGACGGGAAAGTAGAGTCTTAATGGAGTTGGTGGGAAGTGGCCATTGGCTTCAGGTAATTCAGTCTGTATCTGGCATAAGCATCCTGCTTATTTGGGGCTCTCGAAGTTGTAGATGCCTCTGATACAGCTACTCTGCCCTCTTGATTTCTGTGCACCATCCATACCAGATTCATGAATTCACCACAGTAAAATGTGTCACCTTTTTTAAATCAATTTTTTAGATCCACCAGTCACTGAAGATGGGTGGGTTATTTACAAAGACTACCAGTATTACTTTAGCAAACAGTCGGAAACCATGGACAATGCACGAGAATTCTGCAAGAAGAATTTTGGTGACCTTGTTTCTATTCAAAGTGAAAGTGAAAAGAAGTTTCTATGGAAATATGTAAGAACATGATTAATTTACGTATGGACCAGTGACGTGGGATAAGCAAAGATAATGCCTGCAATTGGTACCCTGTGGTACAAATGGTGCAATGTTAAGTTATGTGCTGAATCGGCACCTTCTAAGGTCAGGGGTAAAGATATAAATGCCGGAGGGGCTGGGGTGGGGTTGGGGGTGGGTGTTGGCCATAATAGAAGGGGTGATCTGACTGCTTGAATTTTCGGTGCAGAATCACAGAACCCAGAGGCAGTTTTGCCAGGATCCATGCCTCATGACTTTGAGTGCACTAATTTGATTTTCACAGATTGTAACTCCTGACTAGTTGTTTATATCAATCCTTTGTGTGTGGGGCAGGTTGATTATTAATCTAAAGATCGATCTTAGTTGGACCAAATTTTTAGTTAATAGATAGTACAGCTTGATTATTCATATAAAGATCTTTCTTGCTTGTACCAAAATTCTCAGCTAACAGTGAAGGTATAATTCATTTTTTTTCCAATAGTGCTTGGCTCAATCTCTCTCTTTAAAAATTTCCATGACATTCTTGTTTTTTTGCTTTTGTTTTTTGTTTTGCCAGAAAAGAGGTAGGAGAGAGAGCAGGAAAAGAGTTGAACAGTGATGAAGAAATAAAAATTCATTTGATTGCAAAGCTAGTAGAGAGTAGTCTGATTTCATCTTTGGAGATACACCTTGGATTGAAATTCTCAGGATATTTCCTAATATCGCACAAATATATACATGGGTGAAGAAGTCTTTCCTTAGGCACAGAATACCAAATGGCAACTTTGTTTAAAAGATGGTCTTCAACAACCGAATTACTAATAGGCATTTGACATTATAGAGAGTGACTTTAGATATTTGCTTTATAAATGCAGGTCGTTTTATAATGTGCATATTTTTCTTTTTATTTCTATGAAAAACATAACACTGAATATGCCATGGAATTTCTACATGAATCTCTTAGAAAAAGACCCTACTAGGCTGCCTCATTAATGTATAGGTTTTATTTAAGAATTTGCTTATTATATAAGTATAGATTGAACTCTATGTAAACTTCCATGTTTTAGGTAAACAGGAATGATGCACAACCAGCATACTTTATTGGTTTATTGATCAGCTTGGATAAAAAGTTTAGGTAAGTAAATAAAAATAAAATGACTTCACTTAAGATAGCGATCTGATAAACACCTAAGTTATTTTGAGGACTTTATTTTGCCGAATGCATTTTTAAAATATCCACCAGGGTTCTCAATCTAAAATTCATCTTTTAGAAAACCAAAAAGAATTACAATAATCCTGTTAAATATTTTCAGCATTCTCATTCTCAAATAACTAAAAATCTGATTTAATCGTGCAAAACTTCACCTGTCTTTGTTTTCTACTGCCATCACATGTTAGCGAATCTACTAAGAAGATGGATTATATGCATTTGAATACAGACTTTATTTTAAAAATTACGATGCCCACTTGGACTCCTTGGTGCACAGAACCGAAGGGTCCTTTCATGTTGCCTGACACACTGCTTTGACATCACAACCTTGAAAACCTGCTCTAACTGCATGAGACGCTTTCTCCTCAAAGGAGTGACTCGGCTGTTCTCCACTGGGTCCGGGGCCAGGACAAGCTGTGGGAGGGAGGACATTAGTAAATCTGGGGGTTTCTTTCCCTGTTCATTAATATACATGTTCTCAGTTTGAAGAGATTTGTCTTCCTGGCTCACGCTCAGATGTATGAGCCACACATGTTCCCTGTGACTATTATTGGCATTTCTGTGTAATGAGACCTAAACTCACACCCATTACTTTTTTTCCGATTTTTATTAATTTTTTTTTTATCCTCCTCTGAGGACATTTTTTCCCCCCGTTTTTTGTTCTTAGTCCTTTTCCAGTGAAATGTCTCTGGGTTTCTATAATTTATTAAAATAAACCTTGGTCCACATAACTTAAGAAAAATCAGAGTAAACGTGAAATTTAGAGAAAGAGACTCATGAGAAACTTCATATTCTCAGCCTCTGTATGGGTGGCTGTGTTTTGTGGGAATGATGCCTAAGAAGTATTATGGGAGGATATTTGCTCTGGCCCACTTCCAGAGTGATCGGCATCTCTGTTTCTTCTCCCCCTTCAAGACTAAAGGCAGCTTCTCCCAGGGAGACGGAGTAGCCAGGGCCTCAGGTTGCTACAGAGATGCACCAGAGGCACCAGCCACCTTGCGGGTTTTCCTACTAGTCTCTCTGGAACCTCTCTTCTGTTAGCTTCGCATCCTGTGGTCCCTTCATCTTGACTGACTTGACTGTTCCCACCACTAGCTGTAGTCAATCATTCTAATGGTTGGATTGTTGCTAAATGCCTGAATTTTGTTTTCCAGTTGGATGGATGGAAACAAGGTGAATTATGTGGCTTGGGCTCCAGGTGAACCCAATTTTGCAAATGATGACGAAAACTGTGTGGTCATGTATTCAAATTCAGGTAGATAATCTTGAATTTGCCTTGTGGTGTAATGTGTCCTATGCTACCTCTGTGAGCATAAAACAGTAACTTGTGCACGTAAGTCAGAAAAGAAGAGAGAATAAAGGAGAATTCTAATTTTAGCCGCATGATCATTAAATTTTTAAAGAGAATGGATGCTTAACATTTACTCTATTAAATGATACTTCTCAGTTTATGAAATATTTTTTTCCATATTTTTTGTTGTTGTTGTTCAGATAGAGTGGGAGGGAGAGAGAAAGAGAAACATCAATGTGAAAGGGACACATCGAGTGGCTGCCATCCGCACGACCCAACCAGGGCCGGGGACAAACTGCAACCGAGGTACATGCCCTTAGCGGAAACCGAACCTGGGTCTCTCCAGACCACAGGCCAATGCTCTAACCGCTGAGCCAAACCGGCCAGGGCATTGTGAAATATTTTTTTATGTTCTGATTTGAAGAAATTATTCAGAATGTTTATCTCTTTTATCCCTCTCTCATGTCTTGATCTGCAAAATGGGAATAATAACAGAACCTATATATTGAGAAAATTAAACAAAATAATACATCTAAAAACACTAAGTAAATGCTTGGTATATATAAAGTTTATTGTAACATTATTATCATTTTCTAGAACTGGCTATTTAGATAATGCATCTGCAATCCCAACAATGTACTTGGCTCATAGGAAGCTCTCTATAAAGTTGAGCCATCATTAGTTTAAGTGAGAGAGTGAAAGGGTATTGCAGTGATGCTTTGAGTCCTTGTATAAATTAAAGTGGAATGTAGTCTAAACCATGTTTGAGAACGCTTATAATACATGAATGCGTTTTTAAGCACGCCCGTCTAATGGAGCTATCTTGTTCTTCGCAGGGTTTTGGAACGACATTAACTGTGGTTATCCAAACCCCTTCATCTGCCAGCGGCATAACAGCAGCATCAACGCCACAGCCATGCCCACCACGCCCTCCGCCCCAGGAGGCTGCAAGGAAGGTTGGAGTTTCTACAACAACAAGGTAAGAAAAATGAGTTGCAACCTTTTGTTTTGGTACGTGCCCCTAGTGGGACCCAAACCCAGGACTCTCTGCTCCACAGGTCAACGCTCCAACCGCTGAGCCAAACCAGTCAGGGCTCGCGTTGCAATCTTGACATTGGTCCTTATAGGGAGAGTGACAATGCAAGTCTTTAGCTTAAAATGAACTTTTGCTTTACTTCGTCACTTGAGAAAAATTGTCCGCAAGAATAGGTGGAGATTCCCACGTCAAATTCTTTATGGAAATTAAGACCGTATATGAAGATATTATCCAAATAGTTGTACCCTTTGTCCCAAAAGAAAAAAGAGCTTTGCAAAGAAAGTTTGTAATGAAACAGACTTAAGTTTTTAGATGTCTATTTGGTTGGGAGGGAATTTATATTTAGCTATAATCTTCATAGATAATCTTAATGTCTTTCAGTAGTCCTTTCCACTATTATCTTTAGTTAATCCCTGTGGATCCTTTTCTTTCATCCCAGTGTATCAAAATCTTTGGATTTGTTGAAGAAGAAAGAAAAGCGTGGTCCGAGGCACGTAAAGCTTGCATAGCATTCGGAGGAAATCTGATATCCATCCGCAACGAGAGAGAGCAAGGTACGCAGTCCAATCCGTCGTGCATTTGGACATGTAATTTTCCTCACAAACTTATGGAATGTTGTGATAGTAAATTTTTGTTTGGGTTTTGCTGAGGAAAAATAAAGGGGGAAAAAATCAAGCGCGTATTTCGAATTGAAAACTGTTGTATTCAGTCGGAGGCGCCAGGCCGGGCACTCGAATCCCCTTTCCATGGTCAGAGCCGCTCTGGGAAGTAGGAGTGGGCACCCACTGTGTGCAGCGGAGGCAGGGGCCTGCTGAGCGCACAGTGGGGCTGGGAGTCAAGCTGGGTCTCAGTTTACATCCCGTTCTGTTTCCACCAAACCAGTTTGCTTCTCAAAGAGGCAAAGAAATAGAGTTGCTCTCGCAAGAAAATGAGAAGTTGCCGATTTCCCATTTACTGCTCTTCTAGTCGTGTTACCACGTGACTTTTGAGGACATGAAACTGATTTTCAAATGTGAACTTTGAACAAGTTGAGAAAAGCATTTTGATGAAGACCAGCGAGCAGCCGCAGCTCTGAAGGGGACACTCGCCCAGGCCACACAGCACACAGATTCACGGCGTTGCTGTCGGATGCAATGGGCTCGCTGCTTTTGCACCGACTTTCCCGGGCCACCTTAGCTGAAATAGATTATCAGGTTAAATTTGTGACTTGTCACCCTAAGGAGGATATTGACTAGCTGTAGGCGATTCCAATGACAATGACGATAAACTGATGAAGGGTTTGGAAACCGCAGCAAGTGGCCAGTGAGGAATGTTTGAAAGGTCCCTCGGTTTCACAGCCTAGAAAAGAGAGGATGTGGGTTTTCAAAGATCGTCCTGTGTGGCTCCAGAAGGAAGACCTAGAACCCATGAGTGGCAGTTATAGGGAACTACATTTAGGCTTAAATTGAGGAGGTCATTCTAGCAATTAGAACTGACCCAGGGGGAAGCTTCATGAGTTTTCTGAAAGGCTGGGAAACTGCTTAAACTGGAAGGAACTCAAATGGATGCTATTGACTAGTACATAGTGTGGAAGATGCTCAGTAAATATTTGCTGTACATATGGGTTGATGCAGATGTTATAGGCGAGAGATGTGGTCTGGAGAATTTCTAAGTTCCTTTTTGGTTCCAAGGTTCTTTGATATCTAAAATCACTTTCTGGAAAAAAAAAGATATATCTCAAAAAATGTAAGAAAAAAAGAAAGACAGTAGACCCCTGTACGGCACTGTCCTCAATGTTTATTTTACTTCGTCAGTGCGCTGTGTGCTCTCTTGGAAGACGTTGTGTGATAAACCAACCAAGCTTTCTGAGGACCTTCGACAAGTTCCGTAACTTGCCAGACACCAAAGGAAGAGGGTCAAACTATAGCATACAATAAAAAAACTTGTAAGAATATAGTCTTCGCATTTCTCTAACTAGCCTACCACATTTCAGGCTTTGCTACCCAGTAGAGAAACAATCATCGATCCCTCTCTTAACCGCAAAGAGCTGATTCCTGGCATAGCAAAATTAGAACCTGGGTAATACAGATGTGCAGAAGGAAACAATTTTCACATAAAATAACATTATTCCTGGCAAAGGAGGCATGCGTTGTTGAAGTCTTATTGTGGTTTTTGGCAGAAAAAAAGTCAGTGCTGAAATTTTTGGCAGTGGGCCTTCTCCACACTTCATTTCGAGTTGGGGGGGGGGTTAAAACTTATAATCTTCTTTTGGAAATACAACTGAAATAAGTATCTACCCATGCTCTTCTCTCTCTGTAGAGAATGTTAGCAGACAAACCTTTTTTTTTTTTTTTTTACCTTTAGTTAATTGAGAAATAAGCCGATCTCTGAGCAGGCTGGTCATGTCATCTACTGCTCTGCAAGAGAGGAAGCGCGGAGCAGTGGCCTCTCCAGGAAATTGTTGGTTCTTGAATAAGCAGATAAAAGTGTCTCTGCAGGCTTCTCTGCATTTTGCATTTTCTATTAGGGACTTAAGTGCATAGTCATTCAGCTTTCTATTTGCACTCAGGAGTCGAGTTTAAGCATAAATATTTAGAAGTTGTTGTTCTGTAGAATCGGTGCTTAAGTACCTAGGTGCCCACGGGTGCCAGCAGGTGCTGTTGCTGGCCCGGACAGCGGCTGCTATGGGAGCCATGGGATGGGCTCATGGCGTGGGATGGGCACGGCACACCGAAACCTTTACTGCTTCTGGATATTTCCAGCATCCCCTCTGCCACGGAATTGATAAGGAAGCAAGAGCCTATATTTGTTCTACATTCTCTGAATTTTTCTAGATCATGTCTTCTCATGATGTGAGCACTTAGCATCCGGGTGGCCCCTGGGTCCAAGCGCACTCACCGCACAGCTGCTGACCCAGAGGAGTTGGCTGCCCAGGGGCACTTCCAAACTTTTGGTTTGGCAAACGAAGATTGTGATCATGTGACAGCCTAAAGCATCTTGTTTTGATAAATAGTGTTCATTTTAAAAACTTTTCTGGATGAAGGGCCCTCTCTGCTCCCTAGTTATCCTAATCAGATTATTTTATTTATAGAAAGAATCAGGATGCCTGTGAACTCATAGAATGACTGGGCGTGCATTAGAAGAATGTACCCCTTCTGCAGGATTATAAGCAGCCACAACTCAGATCAGAGTTTGGGGTAGTTGTCAGGCTCCCTGTCCCAGTGCCCCAGTGCCCTTGGGCAGGGCACAACTTGTACAACTGTCTGTAATGACCCAGATAAAACCGAGACTTTTCAAAGTCCAAAGCTGAAGCAATAACACAATAGAAGATTAGAATGTGTGTGTTTTCATGGTACGTGCTTTTAGATACTAACAAAGACACCAATCACATGCTTGATATTTTGAAATGAATGTATTTTGACTATTTTTCATATTTTCAGTATTTTCCCCCAAAGTTAAAATTATCTTGTGATACTTTCTTCCAGCATTTATTACCTATCATATGAAGGACTCCACTTTCAATGCCTGGACAGGGCTGAACGATATCAATTCAGAGCACACGTTCCTTTGGACAGACGGGCGAGGAGTTCACTACACCAACTGGGGGAAAGGTTACCCTGGCGGAAGAAGGAGCAGTCTTTCTTATGAAGATGTAAATATCACTTTCAAGTCACTTCTCTGTCCCCTACTAGTTTCCTTAAAGTCATCATATTAGTGATTAATCTTCTGTGAAAAACCAACCGGAGTGCTTCTTGGTCTGATTCTCTCTTGCAGATTTTAACTGTCAGACTGAGCCAGCCTTGGTGGAAGGTGTGCACACTCGGTTAAGAACACTCCAGTGTGTGGGGGAGGGGCGGCAGTGAGGGATAGAGGAAGCCAACTCCACAGTGGGCCTGTGTGGTAGGCAGAGGTCCCTGGAACCCAGAGTTATCAACACTCTTTGCATCAGCTGCTCTTACACTCCTGTGGTGTTTGGGGTGCAGGTCTGGAAGCTACTATTACTTCTAAAGATGTCCTCCTCCTCCTCCTCCTCATCATCATCACTGAGCTAACATCTGTAAAATGCTTACTATGTGCCAAACACTGTGCTAAGTGCTGTAGCACATTAACCCAAGAGACAGATGGTTGCTTCTTTATTTTCCTACTTTTTTTCTCATATCATCGAAGTCAACGAATCAGTGCTAAATACTATACTAAGCATTGTGAAAATATAAGATTGTTTTTACCTTTTTTAATCAATTTTTTTCTTTTCATTAATTTTTAGAGAGAGAGGAAGGGAGAGGGAGAGAGAGAGAGAAACGTTGATGAGAGAGAACATTGATTGGCCGCCTCCTGCATGCCCCCCACTGGGGATCGGGCCCACAACCTGGGCATGTGCCCTGACCGGGAATTGAACTGGCGACCTCTTGGTGCATGGGTCAATGCTCAACCGATGAACCACACCGGCTGGGCAAGACTGTTCTTACCTTAAAGAAGCTCACACTTAAGCTGGACCACATGTAGTATATATAAGAAAGAAGACAATAAAGAAACTAAAATGCATACTTAGCTGTAAAGCTCATAGTAGTTCGGAGGGAAGAAACTTACTATGGGATGGATCTAATCAGTTGACACTTACCTGTGGAGCCCTTCAGTAGGTGGAGGGAAGGAGTATGAGAAAGAATCACTGGGGTTTTTGCTTTTGTTTTTCTCTCTAAAAGTTTAAAACATAATGGTCAGGGGAGCTTGGCAAGAGGACGGGAAAGCACTGTTAGGTGGGCAAGGTGGGTGGAGTCCTCTAGAAAAAGGCATAAGGTAGATTTGGTTTGGGATATTGCAGGCGTTTCACACAGAAAAGAAATAGGAGTAAGCTTTGACAGGTGGAAAGCAGAGTTTAGAGAAATTTAGATGCCCTGGGACAGAGTTTGGACTTCGTCAGAGAGGCAGTGAAAAAGGCGTGAGCAGGAAAATGGTCTGATCAAAACGACATCTTTGTGAGAACTAACTCAGTAGCTGTATGCAGGGTGCGTAGTCTTGGTGATGGGTACGTGATTCTCTGTGGAGAAATTCTTTGACTCCTCTTTACATTCATGAGGGTTGAAAACTTACTGAAGAAGTTAAGGTAGAATGGAGTAAGATAGGTTTTGCTTAGAAAGATTTCAGAGACGAGGGGTGATTTTCATGTAAAGGAAAAATAATTATTGCACAACGGTTTTGTTTTCAGAACATAAAGAAAAGCAGAAACAAACAAAATCTGTAATCTCACCATTCAATAAAAATATACTGTTAATTTTTCATTGATTTTATTCCTATACTTTTTCTTAGTGTGTGTAAAAAGGTAAAGTTTATATTTAAAAAATATGGAATCAAAACACATATACAGTGTTGTTATAATTTCAGGACTTAAAAAATGGAAAGATTAAATGTGGTTTGACAAAGAGAGTGGAAGAGAACTTTTCATATGCATTTTGTGGTGGAAACATGTTTATTGTATACAGGTTGTTAAGACTAGAGCAGAGACTTTGAGCCAGGAGAATAGCTAGGAAGGAAGATGGGGATGAGTGGAGAATCTTTGAAATGTGGGACTGGGGGTTCCTAATAGTTGAGGCTCAAGGCTGGAGGCAGGGAATAGACAACTATAGCTGTGTTAGCTGTGGATCAAGGGATTAATAAAATTTCCGATAGCAGAGTTTCTCAGACCTATCTGCAAAATGTATCCAACTCTATTTGGTTTTCAGTTAAATAGCAGGAGTTCATGGCGAGGGCTCCATGTGGAAAGTTGGTGCAGTGCATGGAGAGTCAGGATGAATCGAACATACTGTAAATGAATGAGGACAATCTTAAACTTTGGAGGTCTGGATTATTCATGAATTGATTCAGATAATTGCTGATTCACATTCCCTCTCCTCCCTAAATATACAGGTGGACTGTGTTGTTGTTATTGGAGGGAAGTCAAAAGAGGCAGGAAAATGGATGGACGATACCTGTGAGAGTAAGCGAGGTTACATATGCCAGATGCTTCCCGGTAAGTGCCGCCGAACCTCACCTGCCTGTAGAAGCTGGAGTATATGTTTGTGTGTGTGTGTGTGTGTGTGTGTGTATATATATGTATATATATATATATATGTATGTATATATGTATATGTATATATATATGTATATATATATATATTCTCTTCTGTTTTTTGCTGTGATGCTGTGACCCTTAAACTTCTCTTAAAAAAAGGCTTAATTTAAAAAAAAGATTCCCTTATAACACGTCAAGTTTGATTCTCATTTGAATCCATGTATGCCTTTGACAACGTGGGTGATATTTTCTTTAAATGATTCATGCGTGTACCCTCTCATCCATTACCAGGAAGTTCTGTGCAGATCAAATTTGAAGTTGAAACTCTAATTCTGTTAGAAAGAAAGTTGGGATGTTTGCCTACTTATGCTTTAAAAAAGAAAAAGAAGTCAGAGTAAGAATACCTCAGTTCAACTGGCAGAATTTGATACACACAACACATCATCTACACCATATGTGTGCTGTGTCTTTAAAAATGTAGCTACATATGGTGTGTTCCTTTTTTCAACTTAGAAAGCCTGACTATAGTTAAATGAATATAAAACAGGGTATGTGGATATTCACTGAGATTCCACATTATGGTTGTACACATTAATTATACTTTCTGGTGAAACTAGAATAAAAATGTCTAGCTGCACAAGACAATGTCAGACTAAGAAAATCAACTAGAGATGAGGGTTGAGGGTGGGGTGAGTTTGCTGTCATCCTGAGTTCAGCTCTTGGAGGATCAGTCTGAGTTAGATGTTACTTCTTCTTCCAGTAGTAAAAGTTTTTCCTACTTTCTGGGGAATCGGGGAACTAATGCCAGCTTACGACTCATGCCAGCGATGACTGAAAATCACTTCAGATACTTGCAGATGATTGAAAAGTATTGCAGACGTTCAAACCTTCTATTAACCCCAAAGCCAGGGCCGTGTCACCTCTCTCCCTGCCGTGTCACCTCTCTCCCTGCCGTGACGCACGGGACCAGAATCCCAGGCCCAGGAATGTCGTCTGGGCCTCTGTCCTTTGGGCAAAGTGGGGAGGCTCCCTCTAGGAGTGAATGACGACTCACAAGCTTATTTAAAAATCCTTTTCTTATTATTATAAATGTAAGTGATAGAGTATTTGCCACCAATGAAAGTATTTTGAAGGTTTTTGATGCCTGTAGGCTTAAGGAGAGGTCTTGATGTGAAAAGGGCAGACTATACAATTTTATAGACTGTCAGTTATGCAAAAAACCCTACTATGAACCGCCTTTAAAAAAAAGAACAAAAAGGACAATGAAATGGATCAAAATAAGAATAGTAGTTATATTTGAATAGCAGGAATAAGGCTGATTTTTAGTGCCTTCATTTATCGTATTTTTAAAAATCTCTCTTATATACAAATATATGAATAAAATATATAAGACATATGCAAATAAAAAGCTATTTAAGAATACATATGTTCTTTGTTGAAAATTTAGAAAATACTAAAAAAGCCATAAAGAGGAGAAAATATTGTCCATAATCTAATCTCTCAATATTTTTGTTTTTTCTTGTAAATTGTCCTATGAATGTTTTTATAAAGAAGCAAATTGGACAGATGAGCTGAGTTGTCTAGTTGTTTTTTTTAGCTTTTTCACAAGCCTCAGTAGCCACTTTAACGGTCCAAAATTTTCCCAACAATCTAAGACCAACCCAAGCTGGAGAATGTAACATTTGAAGGACCCTGGTCTGGGTCTCTGGATTCAATGATACTCTTCCGACACAAGGTGGCAGCAACAGCAGAAGAAAGGGAGGCTGCCTCCACCCGCTGAATCCCAGCCCTGGCCTTCCCAGCGTAATCAAAAGAAAGTGTAATGTTGTGTAGTGACAGAACTAGGCAGGTGGTGGATTTTGCTGTTCTATAGTGGAATAAGCAGAGAAGTGGCCAAGACAAAATCCATAGGCAAGGATATCTAGAACCCTAGACGAAGGGTTGGTGAGCTTTTTAGGTAGAGACAATTGTAAATATTTTAGGCTTTACAATCTCAGTTGCAACTACCCAACTCTGGAGATTGAAGAGAAAAGAACAGAAAGCCAAAATGACTGGCTTACAAGGGCTCCCGCCCCTGAGTCACTTTGGATAAGATGTGAGTTGCCCGGTGAAGGGCACAGGAAAGCGTAAGAGGAGAGTCTGCTCCTGAGATCAAGGGTAAAGGAGCCAGGGACTCGTGGATGGCTTTATTCCAGAACTCACACCTGTCTCTTGAAGGTGTGTTACCCACAGGAGGGCTTACATAGATACAAATACATGCAAAGTCACGGATAGAGTGGAACAGATGGGGTAGGGAGAGGAAGACTGTTCTTGACCTTGACATTTGACCAAAATGGGAAAATAAAGATTAGGAATGATAGGATGATAGATGTTCTTTCATCCAGATACTGGCTCTCATTGAATTGTTGAATTTGCAAGCCTTTTTTTTTTTTTTTTTTAAGTTCAGAAACTTGATTATATAATTTCCTTAATATTCTAAATACAGTTTGGAAATGATTTAATTCAATCAGGCGTACTGATGAAAATTAGAGCCTTGTTTTCAGGTGTGAAATGGCTTATGGGAATATTTTAAACACCCGATGGGTTGGATTTATGCTATTCTGATATTTGAAGTATGAAATATAGTAACGTGTGCTGATGCCACTCAAGTAATGTTCATTGATAATGCTAATGAAAATAATCTTTGTATTCCAGACTCTTCCTTGCCTAATTCTCCAGCAACAGTTCCAACAGATGGCTTTGTTAAATATGGTCAAAGTAGCTATTCACTCATGAAATTAAAGTTACAATGGCATGAAGCAGAAAATTATTGCAAGCTTCACGATTCTTCCATGGCTAGCATTCTCGACTCCTATAGCAATGCATTTGCCTGGATGCAAATGCAGACATTTAATGAACCTGTGTGGATCGGCCTGAACAGTAACTTGGTAAGATGTGGGAACATGTCTGACTTGACATGATTGATAAATTGTGATTGAATATGATTCTCTTTCTATTCATCCCGTTGAACACTTGTGAAGTGTAAGAAAGTGTGCCAGGGTATATGACTGATACTAACAGACAAGACCCAGTCTTTCGAATATCTAATGCCTAGTAAGCTAGTGATGTATGTCAGAATTTGAAGACTTATCTAACTTATATTAATTCTCATATTGCTTTTTTAGAATTTATCTTTACTTAGAGTTGATATACAATGTCATATTAGTTTCAGGTATATAGCAAGGTGATTGAACACTTTTATATACCTTGCAGAGTGATCACCACAATAAGCCTAGTACCCTTCTGCTACTGTAAAAAGTTTTACGGTATTGAGTCTATTCCCTATGCTGTACAACTACATCCCTGTGACTTATTTAATAACTGAAAGTTTATACTTTTTTTTTTATCCTCACTTGAGGACATTTTTCCATTTTTTGTTCAGATATAGTGGGAGGGAGAGAAAGGAAGGGAGAGAGAGCGAGAAACATCGACGTGAAAGGGACACATCGAGTGGCTGCCTCCTGCACGACCCAACCAGGGCTGGGGACAAACTGCAACTGAGGTACATGCTCTTAGCGGGAACCGAACCCAGGTCTCTCTGGACCACAGGTCGACTCTCTAACCACTGAGCCAAACTGGCCAGGGCAAAAGTTTATACTTCTGAATTCCCTTCCCTTTCCACCCATCCCTGCATCCCCTCCCTTCTGGCAGCCATCAGTTTAGTCTATGAGTTTGTTTCGTTTTGTTTGTTAGATTGCACATATCAGTAAGTGAAATCATACAGTATTTGTCTTTCTCTTACTGACTTATCTCACTTAGCATGATACCCTCTAGTTCCACTCACGTTGTGGCAAGTGATTTCATTATTTTTTATGGCTGAGTAATATTCTATTGTATGTATGTACCACATCTTCATTTTCCATTCACCTATTGATAGACAACTTTCATATTGCTTTTGAATATTGAAATTAAATTCTGCTTCTAAACAGTTCTATTTATTTATGTATTTAATATTTTTATCCTCACCCCGGGGCATTTTTGCATTTATCTTCAGATAGAGTGGAGGGAGAAAGGAAGGAAGAGAGAGAGAGAAACATCGATGTGAGAGAGACACACCGAGTAGTTGCCACCCACCGGACCCCAACCGGGGCCAGGGACAAACTGCAACCGAGGTACGTGCCCTTAGCAGGAATCGAACCCAGGCCTCTCTGGTTTGCGGGCCGACACTCTAACCGCTGAGCCAAACCAGCCAGGGCTTAACAGTTCTATTTATTAACTTATTTCTTTCTAGTGTCACAAATACGCCATGGGAATTAGGAAAGCAGGTCAGGGGTATAGTGGGTTGGCGATGAGGATACTTTTTATTTTCGGTGGCAAGCCATTCCAGAGCTGTTTTCAGTACTGACATCGTGGAGCCTCCATCCACGTGCAGGAAACTTCGTTGCAGTCAATTCCCTGTGTTCTCTGTTGGCAGAGAACGAGGTGGCATGAGAGATGAGCCACAGAACTCGGAGTGGTGATGGAGTTGCCAAAACATTCCTAAAATGAGTCTCTGATGCCCTGTGATGCGTCTATTCTCCATCCAGACATCCACTCATCCAGCTAGTCAAACTCACTCGTGGGGGAACCAGAGGTGTCAGCGAGTAAAGGAGAGAGAACACCAGAAACGTCACAGAGAGGGTATACAAAATGCCTCAAGAGGCAAGAAAAGGGATCACTTGTGCCACAGGAGAGGACCAGGAGAGCTTCTCAGAGAGAGTCAAGCTTTATAGATGTAATCTGGGATGGTGAAACATTAGGCAGGGGTACTAAGAAGAGAGAAAAGGATGGAAGGGGATAAAATGGAAAGTAGGTTGGTGTCAGAGTTTATAGAGCTTCTGATGCCATGAGGCAGACATTGAAATGTATGCTTCGTGCAATGAGTACTTCCTAAGCAGGGAAGTGAATGTTTAAAAGTAAGTAGTTCCACCATGATTTCTGTGATTACACTTAGGCAAGACATGTTTATATCTGCATTGACTCTATTTTAGTAATTAATTCACTTGATCGTTCATTCATTTTCTTCTTATGAGTTTAAAATAGGCTTTTATTTATTTTTAGGAAGATTAAATGGCCCTCTACTATACAAACATTTGTAACTAAAACAATACTATTGTTTTTCTTACATCTATGGGGTTAATGATTATATAAACATGATTTGATTAAACATGGTAGAGTACTACCAAATACCAACTTGAGAAACATATGCTCTTGGTTTTGTCATTAAATCTATAGTTATTGGCTTGGTAAATTAAATAATACAGTTAAAAATGGGATAATTGTTTGAATTGTTTAAAAATTCAATTTTCTGTGGTTAATGTTACATATCCTGTGTTCTTCTGCATTACCTATAAAATCTCATTTAGATGGTCAAAAGGATATTATTGATAAGTAATATTTTTGATGGTATCAATTAATTTTTATGTGGCCATGAATGTGTTTGACTACATGTAATAAAAATTAAGTGTGCAAATTGAATAAAACAATAAGCTTTTAAAATATGCCATCATATTTTAAAACTGGGCCAGTTTGGCTCAGCGGTTAGAGTGTCGGCCTGCGGTCCAGAGAGACCCGGGTTCGGTTCCCGCTAAGGGCATGTACCTCGGTTGCAGTTTGTTCCCGGCCCTGGTTGGTTGTGCGGGTGGCAGCCACTCAATGTGTTCCTTTCACATCGATGTTTCTCTCTCTCTCTCTTCCTCTCTCTCCCTCCCACTCTGTCTGAACAAAAAAATAGAAAAATGTCCTCGGGTGAGGATAAAAAATAATAATAATAATAAATGAAATAAATAAATAAATAAATAAAATATGCCATCATAATCAATTACAGTTGAAAGATCACCTAACTGGAAGGCCAGTCTTATGCCTCTCTGTTCTTTACCCACAGGACCTCACCTAAGTCGTTTGTCAATGGCCTGCTTCAACAGCCAAACAATAAGATTAGCTGAAATGTGTTTCTTTCCAGGGTCCATGAGTTCAGTGAAAATTATTTACATTTTATTATTATTTTAATGGTGATATAATAAATACTTTATTTGTCCTGGAGAAAAAACTTATGTTTTACACTGGAAGCTTACAAAAGAAGAGTTTCATAGAATATCTGGTCAAGATATCTGGTTAGGTAAACACGGTATCACACCCTCCCACAACCACATCAAAGTTACAACTAAACTACAGAACAACCATCATTCAAAACCGCCTGAAATCAAGCTGAATGGAAGTCCTACAACTACGGAATTAAAGCAGCAGCCGCATGGAGACTGGTAGGAGGGGTGGAGGTGGATGGGCTGGTCCCACACCACGTGTGGTGGATAAAAATGAGGAGGACACCTCAGCTGGGAAGGTCCTTCCTGAGGACTGAGGGATCACCGTCCCTCAGGGTTCCACTGCCAGGAAGAGAATCCCCATAACTTCTGGCTGGTAAAACCAGCGGGAACTGAGGCTCAGGGAGGCGAAAGCGGCTGGAGCCCCAGGCAGCTCCTTAAAGGGCCCGCGCACGGACTTATCGGACTCTCTCCCTCTAAGCTTGGAGGGGAGGCAGCTTGAGGGGCACCAGAGACATACAGGGAAGAACTGAGCTGTTTGGCACTGGAGCGAGGGCTGGAGAGGGGGCTTTCTCCGGGACAAATGTGCTGCCAGAGGCCTTTGTTCCTTTGGTGAGCCCTTTCCGGGGGCAGCAGACGGCCGCCATATCTGGGACTCCAGCAACCTGGCTCACACTGGTAGCCCCGCCCTTCTGACTCCCTGAGGCCCCGCCCCACCCAACTTTCAGGCCCACCCAAGCTGTTGCCAGTTGCTTAACCATAGGATTGGCCTGTCTTGGATCCTGCTTCAGGTTTTCCTAAATTCTTTCAAACAAGCAGTATCTGGTCTCAGCTAGCCCCATACCTCTTGTTAAGTAATACACAGAAACAAACACAGAGAGGCAGCCAAAATGAGGAGACAAAGAAACAGGTCCCAAATGAAAGAACAGAACAAAACTCCAGGAAAAGAACTAAGAGAAATGGAGATAAGCAACCTAACAGATGCTGATCTCAAAATACTGCTTATAAGGATGCTCAATGAACTTAGTGAGGGCCTCAAGAGCATTAAAAAGGACCAGTCAGAAATGAAGGAGGCACTAACTGAAATAAAGAATAATTTACACAGATTCAATAGTAGAGTAGGTAAAGCCAAGAAGCAAACCATCGATTTGGAATATAAGGAAGCAGAAAACAGCCAACCAGAACAGCAAAAAGAAAAAAGAATAAAAAAATGAGGATAGTGTAAGGAGCCTCTGGGACAACTTCAAGCGTGCCAACATTCGCATCTTGGGAGTGCCAGAAGGAGAAGAGAGAGAACAAGAAATCGAAAACCTATTTGAAACAATAATGGCAGAAAACTTCCCTAACTTGGTGAAGGAAACAGACATACAAGTCCAGGAAGGAAAGAGAGTCCCAAACAAGATGAACCCCAAGAGGCCCACACCAAGACACATCATCATCAAAGTGCAAAAGGTTCAAGACAAAGAGAGAATCTTAAAAGCAGCAACAGAAAAGCAGTTAGTTACTTACAAGGGAGTTCCCATAAGACTGTCAACTAATTTCTCAAAAGAAACTTTGCAGGCCAGAAGGGGGTGGCAAGAAATATTTAGAGTGATGAAAAGCAAGAACCTACAACCAATATTATCCTGCAAAGCTGTCATTTAGAATCAATGGCCATATAAAGTGTTTCCCAGACAAGAAAAAGTTAAAGGAGTTCATCACCACAAACTGTTATTATATGAAATGTTGAAGGGTCTTTTTACAGAAAAAGATAAAATATATGAACAAACAAAATGGCAATGAATACATATCTATTGACAATTAAATCTACAAACAAAATGGACAGGGAGAACAGAAACATTCTCATAGATACAGAGAACATTTTGTTGGTTGCCAGATGGGAGGGGGGTTGGGGGAAAAAGGTGAAGGGATTAAGAAGAACAAATTGGTTGCTAGACTGACAAACCTCAAAGAGAAGGGGCTTGGGGAGTGGGAAGAAATAAACCAAAGAACTTATATGCATAACCAATGGACACAGACAATAGTGTGGGAAAAAGCGGGATGGGGGTGGGAGTGGGGAGGAGGGGATCAATGGGGGGAAAATGAGGAACATCTGTAATACATTCAACAATAAAGATTAAAAAAATAAAATAAAAAAAGGGGAAAAAAAAGAATATGACATAGGTTTTCAAGTCAGTTTTCCAAATTATCTTCCAAGGATGTATTTATTGTAGTCTTCTTTTTTACAAAATGTTGCATATACTGAATTTGAGTTGGTAGAAATGATTCATGTAGTTGTTTAAAATTCCTCAATGTCAAAGTTTCTTTGTCAAATCATGGTTTTAAATATACTTTTAACTCCTCACTTGGTTCTTCGGGTATTTTCTAAAGGAAGCAAAACTCCATGTTAGTGGTTGTTTTTTTTCTTTCTTGCAGACCAATTCTGAATACGTTTGGACTGATAAATGGAGGGTGAGATACACTAATTGGGCTTCTGATGAGCCCAAACTGAAATCAGCATGTGTTTATCTGGATGTTGATGGCTACTGGAAGACAGCACATTGCAATGAGAGTTTTTACTGTCTCTGCAAAAAATCAGATGGTAATGGAATATCCAAAAACGGTCTAAGGATTGTCAATTTTCTTAATAAGCTGATACATAACTGTTGATATTATTAAACTATTAACATGTCTTGGGAGCTTAAGATAAGACATATTTCTTTACCTAAGGAAAGACTGACTTGTTAGTAAGCAAATATACAGAGATCAAAATGATGGAGATAGAAATTTTTCTTCATTGCAAGAGAGTTTATTTGCTCTTTATAAATTTCTGAATTTTGATTATTGAGATTATTCTCTGAATCTATGTCACATTCCCTAGGGAATTATGATTCCTTTGATGTTGATAGCATAATTACATCAAAATACTTTTATCAGAATGCATGTAGATTCATCAGTCAGTGATATTATGCTGATAGTGTCCTAGAATGCAGTCTTAGAATTGAACAGTGATAAAGCCCTATAGTTCTAACTATAGCATTTAGTTATATCACAGATGTCAGTTATAGCTAAGAAGGGTTTATATGGATTAGACACCCTCCCCCAAATTAAAAAAATGTCTTGAAAGGAGGCTGTCTTGCAAATTTTGGGGGAGGTGCCGGTTTTTTGGAACTTAACTTCTTTATGGGTATCTATAGATCTACATTCTTTTTTTTTTTTTTCTATATTGATTTTAGAGAGAGAGGAAGGGAGAGGGAGGGAGAGACAGAAACATTGATGAGAGAGAACACTGATTGGCCACCCCCAGCATGCCCCCCATTGGGGACCTGGCCCATAACCTGGACATGGGCCCTGACCGGGAATCGAACCGGCGACTTCCTGGTGCATGGGTGGACGCTCAACCACTGAGCCACACCAGCCAGGCAGATCTGCATTCTTAATTTTGAGTGTGATTGATTGCCACAGTACCTTAATACATCTATTAAAATATGTTTCAAATGAAAAAAAGAAAAAAAGAAGTGTAAAGAAACCCCAATAATAAAAACGGCAGATTCAAATGATTAACACTAGAACTTTAAAAAAAATGACAGGTGATGAAAATGTTCACAGTCGCTAATATATTATTCTACATACTACAGAAACTTTAGGTTTTACTTTATTTTAAACGTCTTTTTATCTTTTTATTAACAGAAATCCCTGCCACTGAACCTCCACAACTGCCTGGCAGATGCCCCGAGTCAGACCACACGGCGTGGATCCCTTTCCATGGTCACTGCTACTATATCGAGTCTTCATATACAAGGCACTGGGGCCAAGCATCTCTGGAATGTCTTCGAATGGGTAAGTGCCACATTTACTGTGAGAAAATCGCAGTCATCTCTTCTGGATTTCCATGATCTGAATAACACTATACATTAAAAACGTTCATCTTTCTCAATGATTTATATTGTCACAGAATGGTCCACATCATGACCCCCAAATATAATTTCTAATATCGTAGCCTCAAAACTCTTAAAGAATTCGGTCAAAAACGATCATTTGCAGAACAAATCTTTCTTACTTTTGGCCCTAATATACTAAATTGTGAGGAGTCTCATTCTCAGTTATTCAGAGTATTGTGTTTACATCTTATCACCAAAAAGCTCAGGTTTCACAAGTGCCCAGGAGCCATTTTGCTATAGCACTGACAGAAAAGTATTTATATCTGGATATCTTATTTGTGAAGTAAAATAAAAGAAACTTCAGATGGATATGACATAAATGGATAATCCCCCCAAATTAAAAATGTCAAATAAAATTAATGTTTTATAATTCACTCAATTAAATTTCATTGAATATTTTACTGATTTTTCTTTACTAAAGTTTGATTATGCCCTAAATAAGTATTCTTTATTCAATAGTGGTCTGCAAGAGTTGGATCATTTCTTTCAGTCCCATTCAAAAGTTAACCTTGAATTTTGAATTTTTACTTTTGTGTGTATATTTCTTCAGCTTTATTGAGGTAAAATTAACATGAAGTTATAATACATGTAAAGTATACAACATGATCATTTGTCACACACATTGTGAGAAGACTCAAGTTAATACATCATCACCTCACATACTTACCTCTTTTTCTTTTTTGGTGAGAACACTTACATTCTACTCTCTTAGCAAATTTCGATGATATGATACAGTGTTCTCAACTCTGGTCACCATGTTATACTTTAGATCCTCAGACCTTATTCATCTTAAAATGGAAAGTTTGTACCCTTTCACCAGGCTCTCCCTATTCTTCACCATCAACCCCTGCCAATCGCCATTCTACTTTCTGTTTCTGTGAGTTTGACTATTTTTTTTTTAACAGTTCTACATATGAAGCTGATATCATACAGTATTTGTCTATCTCTGTAGGGCTTATTTCACTTAGCATAATGCCTTTCTGATTAATCAAAATGGTTACAAATGGCAGGATTCCTGTTTGTTTAAAAAGAGTAATATTTCACTATATATATAATTTACACACACACACACACACACACACACACAGCCATTGATTGTTCAGTAGCATGTTTAATCTCCATATATGTGTGAATTTTATTTTCTCCTTGTAATTGAATTTTGGTTTTGTAACATTGTGGTCAGAAAAGATGTTTGATATGATTTCAATATTAAATTTATCGAGACTTTTTTTTTTTTTGTGGCCTAACATATGGTCTATCTTGAGAATGTTCCATATGTGCTTGAGAAGAATGTGTATTCTTCATCTGTTGTGTGAAATGTTTGTATCTATCTGTTAGGTCCATCTGGTCTAATTGTAGTTTAAGTCTACTGTTTCCTTATTGATATTTTTGTCTGAATGAATTATCTATTGTTGAAAGCCGGTATTGAAGTCTTCTACTGTTGTTGTTTTGATGTCTGTTTATCCCTTCATATCTAAAATTTGTTTTATATATTAAGGTGCTTTGAAGTTGGGTATATATATATATATATATAATATATATATATATATATATATATATATTTACAATAGTTACATACTTCAGTAAATTGACCCCTTTACTATTATATAATGACTTTCTTTGTCTCTGATTATAGCTTTTGGTAAAGTCTTTTTCGTCTGATACATGTATCAAACCCACTTTCTTTTGTTTTCTATTTACATGGAATAATTATTTTCATTCTGTCACTTTGAGCATGGGGGTATTCAAAAAGCTGAAATGAATTACTTGTAGACAACATATAGTTAGATCTTTTTTCTTTTAATTTATTCACTCACCCTGTGTCTTTTGATGGGAGTATTTAGTTTATTTTTATTTGCAGTAATTATTGATAGGTATGGACTTACTACTACCATTTTGCTCATTGTTTCCTGGATGTTTTGTAGTTTCTTTTTTCTTTCTTCCTCTATGGTTCACTTCCTTTACGATTTGATAATTTTCTGTAGCAGTATGCTCAGATGTCTTTTTTTTTATGTTTTGTGTATCTATTCTAGGTTTTGCTTTGTGGTTACTATAAGGCTTATAGTTATAACAGTCTATTTAAAGCTGCTTATAACTTAACTATGAATGCATACAAAAGCTTTACATTTTATAACACCCCACATTTTATACTTTTGCTGTCACAAATTACATTTTTATATTGTGTATCCATTCACAAATTACTGTATTTATTATGATTTTTAGTACTTTAGTCTTTTTTTTTTTGATCCTCACCCGAGAATATTTTTTCATTTTTTGTTTGGATAGAGTGGGAGGGAGAGAGAGGAAGAGAGAGAGAGAGAGAAACATCGACATGAAAGGGACACATCGAGTGGTTGCCACTCGCACGACCCAACCAGCAGGCCTGGGGACAAACTGCAACAGAGGTACATGCCCTTAGCGGAAACCAAACCCGGGTCTCTCTGGACCACAGGCCGACGCTCTAACCACTGAGCCAAACCAGCCAGGACAGTACTTTAGTCTTTTAACCTTTATACTAGAGTTATAAGTGATTTACATACCACCGTTACAATATCAGAGTATTCTGAATTTTACTATATATTTACCTATGTCAGTGAGTTTTATATTTTCAAAAGTTTTTGCATTACTAATTAGTGTTATTTTGTTTCAGCCTAATGAACTCCCTTAACAGTTCTTAATAAAGCTTGTTTATTGTTGATTAACTCTTTCAGCTTTTGTTTGTCTGGAAAACTCTCATTTAATTCTGAGGGAAAACTTTGCAGGGTAGAGTATTCTTGGTTGCCATTTTTTCTTTAAGCATTTAAAATATATTATCCCAATTCCCTTCTAGCATGCAAAGTTTCTGCTGAAAACCCCACTTACAGTCTAAGGGGGGTTTCCTTGTATGTAACCAGTAGCATTTATCTTGCAGTTTTTGAGAATGTCTCTTTGTCTTTAACTTTTGACAATTTAATTATAATACGTTTTGATATGGATCTCTTTAAATTCATTGTATTTGGTACTCTGTAGGCTTCCTGGATCTGATTTTTTTTTTTTTTCTTTCTCTAGGATGGGAAAGCTTTCAGCCATTATTTCTCTGAATAAGCTTTTCGCCCCATTATTTTTCTCTCCCCCCTCTGGGACTTCTATGATGCATATATGGTTCACTTACTGTTGTCTTACAAGTCCCTTAAGATAGCTTCATTCTTTTTTTCTTTTTGCTCCCCCTAATGTATTTGACTGCTCTTTCTTTGAGTTTACGGTTCCTTTTTTTCCAATTTATCTAATTAACCATTGAACCCTTTTTATTGATTGTATTCTTTAGCTCTATGATTTATTCTCTATCAGGTAAATCACTTATCTCTGTTATGTTAACATCACTTGGAGATTTATCTTGTTCTTTTTAGATGATATTCTCTTTCTGCACATTAGATAAAACAGATACCTTTTTCAGTCTTGAAAGACTGGTCTTGTTTAGAAGATGAACCTCATCAATCAACCCAGCCCAAGCTCCTGTTTGTCTCTACTTTGTGACTGTTCAAGTTACCATCTTTGTTTCAAATGGCTCCTAGTATTTGAGGGTGTGCCAAGACCTGACTGTGTCCCAAAAGGGAGGATCACAGTCAACACGTAAATGCAGGCTGATTAGAAGCTGAACCCTCAGGCAGCAGCTGAAAAAGTATGTAGTTAAGCCAGGTACCTGTACAGGCTCTTTCTAGAGAGATGTTGATGACCTGGTTTTATTGTTGCAGCAGGCCAGAGGGGAAAAGTGGCAGAAGTGTCCATAAGCTCCTTCGTGCTCCATGAAAGACCACAGCCAGCCTAGATGCATGCAAATGAGCAGTCAGCCTCTGATGGCAGGTTGTCAAGTATGCAGTCAGTCCTCTTTCGGGAAAGACTGGGAGATGGGCTCCCCCCCCCCCCCCCTCCGCTTGCTCGCTTTTAGCTAAACCCTGGGGGAATAGCAACAATGAGTCCTTCCTTGTTTGTTTTCTATAGTCTCATGGGTTTTGTGGATGCGTATACCATTGACTTTAGATCTAGGTGTTTTTTGGGCATATCTCTCAGAAGGGAGCCTTAAAAGTTGGGGTGCTAGATATGTGGTCTAAATTCTCACTACATTCCAAGGAGAAGCTGGAAGTTGGGGGTTCCCTCCTGATTGTATAGCACTGTGCTGGGGTAGGGTTTATGGAGCAAGTGTGACTTAATCTTGACTCATTTAGATGTGGGTGTTTTCTCTGTCACCTAATGTAAAGGAATCACTCAGCTAGTTTCTGGATTTCTGTGAGGGAATTGTTCTGTGTTCATCTGGTGTGTCCATTGAAGGAGAAAAGTCCAGGAGCCTATGTTCCCATCTACGTCTCTCCCTACGAATTTTGACTTTAGATTCTGAGCCAGATGTTAGTTTGCTTCATTGCATATTGGGACTTTATTGCTATGTGCATATCTGTCTGTAATTGTCACATCTTCTTGATGAACTAAAACTTTAATTATTATAAAATGTACTTATTTGTCTCTAGTAACAAGTTTTGTTTAGAAGTCTATCTTGTGTAATACTGGTATAGCTACTCCAGCTCTTTTTCAGTTACTATTTGCATGGTATATCTTTTCTATGCTCTTACTTTCAACCTACTTATGTGTTTGAATCTTAATTTTGTGTTTTGTAGACAAATTTATTTTTACCTTTTAATTTATTCTGCCAATCTCTGTCTTTTGATTGGAGTACTTAAACCACTTACATTTAATGTAACTACTGATAAGGTAGGATTTATATCTGCCATTTTGCCATTTGTTTTCTCTACGTCTTTCATTTTTTGGGTGAAATAAGAAGGCTTATTTCATTTATGCCTTCTTTTATATTAAATGTATAATTTCTAGAGTACCATTTTAATTTTACTGTGTTTTGTTTAGTTACTTTCTTAGTGGTTGCCCCGGGGATGACAATTAACATCTTATTAATATGCAACAATCTAGTTCAGATTAATATCAATTTAATTTAATGACTGAACAAAACTTATGTTCTTTTATAGCTCTATTCCCCCTGCAATTCTTTGTGATATTATTGTCATACAAATACATTTTTATGCATTGTATGTCCATCAGCACAAATTTATAATCATTGCTTTATGTAGTGTCTTCAGATCAGATAAAATTTTTAAAAGAATTATAATAAAAAAGACAGTTTGAAACTCTGCCTTAGCCTTCACTTCATGCTTGCATAGTGCCTCAAGGTCAGCCAGAGGTGGGAGTTTAGGGACTTCTCAGATCTTTCATGAGAATGCGAATAGTCCTGGTATGTCCACATCTCAGCGCGTGTCTGTGGCCTTCTCGATCCCCAGGAATAGGTTAGTGACTTTTAACACTCCCTATATACATTTTATTCCTGAGTTTTTCCTTTTAAGTTTTTCTGGTTAGCTTGTTGTTTCCCTCAATTGTTATCACTGCCTCAGGCAGCTGCGATTTACACAGTTGCCTCTGATGGTCCTTGAGGAACACCCCGGGGAAAGGCTGTTTACACTGGCCTGAGCTCTGGGTAAGGGCAAATAAGCCAAATTTTGCAAGAGAGGTTTTCCAGAGAACTGTCAGAGACATCAAATAATGGAAAGTTTTTGAGAATGGGACTTTGGGAGAACTCCAACACCATTCTGACATTTCCAATGTCTTCTAGGCTGCTGGTTTTCACTTTGGTTTGGGGACTATTTTTTTTTTTTTTTAATATGTTTTTTATTGATTTTTTAGAGAGAGGAAGGGCGAGAGAGATAGAAACATCCATGTGAGAGAGAAACATCGATGGGCTGCCTCCTACACGCCACCCACTGGGGATCAACCTACAACCCAGGCATGTGCCCAGACTGAAAATCGACCCCAGACCTCTCAGTCCGTGGGACAATGCTCGGTGCACTGACACACACTGGCCAGGCGGGACTGTTGGTTTTTAAGACAGCCAAAAGCCAGGGACAAGACAATGAGATGAGGATGAGTTATAACACCGTGAAGCTCACGGTTCTTACCAAAATTCAATCTTCCTTTTGAATAAATGTGTCCCGAATGGTTACAAACCATTGGTTAATTTTCACAGTTCTTAAAAAAAGTTGACCTTGACAAATTTGCTGGTGGTCTTATTGCTTTTATGGAGTAGAGGATTCTCAGGGGTCCTTACTCTGACATTTCTTATGATATGTCGTCTGAATTCTGCTTTGAATTTTTCTAAATTAAAATATGTTTTTCTTTATGTTTAAAATTTTTCAAAAAGTTTGCAATGAATATGAAGAAATTTTGTTTTAGGTGACTATGTTTTTCTGTAAATAATGTGTATGGTTCTCATTTATTGAAATGTGTCACAAATATTTTGAAATGGCTATTGTCTACGAAATATCTTTACTAATGGACTATGTAATCAAAACAATCATCACGAGGATCATCCAGGATTCAGTAACATGCGATGCAGGCATATGGTTAAATGGAGGTCCTCAAGATTCAGAACGCCTGGATCATGCCATGAATTTGGCCTCTACTCTCATTAAAGTCTTGGCAAATTATTTACCTTCTGTATTTTGTATTTTATTTAACTATAAAATGGGGTACCAATAGTACCCATTTAATAAGGTTGTTGTAAAATTTTAGTGAGATCATGCTTATAAAGCCCAAAGCAAAATGTCTGGCATGAAGTACTTAAATATATTAGTTGTTATTATTGAAAAGCTATAACCATTTACTATAAAATGTAACGCTGACTCTGAATCAGAGCTAACCTAATGTGTGCTGTCAATGCCGTAGTCATTGAATCAGTCCTATACATAACAGCTGGGTTAATACTCCTGTAGTGCATCACATGATTCTGTTGCCTGAAAGAACTGAGTGTTCTTTCTCAGCACATTGCCCTAAATACCAATTTCCTGCCATCTGCCGTGAAGCCTAACCCAAGTCTTTTTTCACCCATTTACCATATTAATCCATCCAAACTGTACTATCTATTAACACTACTAAGTCCTCCCAGTAGACTGACTGACCTATCATCTAGCTATATCATATCATATCATATCATATCATATCATATCATATCATATCATATCATAACATATCACCATAAACCAATATGGAGGACTCCATGTATCTGTGAGCCATCCCCATTCCTGAAGAAGCTCTATGCTTCCTTCTTTCCTTGTCTTTCCTTTAATTCTTCCTCTTTGTGGAATTATTTTCTGTTTTTTGTACTTAAAATCCAGTGCTCCTTCATATCTTAAATTCTGTTTCCTCCGTGCTCCCTTGTAGTTGGATCATCTAAAACAAATCCTCTCCCAGTTTGACATGTCAATGGCATATTGTACTAATTTTACCTTCTTTTACATTCATTTAAACTCTCAACTCATAGCTACCTACATTATCATAACCCTCTTAAGACATTCTCTGTACATCATCTTTTCATATCCTGCAGCAACTTGTTCAGTGTGTGTACGCAAGTGATGCTTAAAAATGTGTTTTCAGAACAGAAGCTGAGATGCTGAAAAGACAAATGTCCACGCTTTAAAATCTTCCACTTAAGTGGACATGTTATAATGATTTATATTGGTCTTAATATAAATACTGTCATTACAAAAATATTTTCAGCTACTTAAATGGACTTCCATCATATGTGTTCTTTTACATTTTGCAGGTTCCTCTTTGGTTTCCATTGAAAGTGCTGCTGAATCCAGTTTTCTGTCATACCGAGTTGAGCCACTTCAAAGCAAAACCAATTTTTGGATAGGATTGTATAGAAATATTGAAGGTAATTTTTGCACGATGATTATTTTATCACAAATATTTCAAACCGTTGTATGTTAAACAAGGTTTCCGTTCCAGAAAGTCTTGCCTTAAATAATGGTTAATTTGTGAAGAGTTTGAAAATACAAACATATTTTCATTTGAGATAAGAACTGACATTTTATTTTATTATTATTATTTTTTTAATCCTCACCCATGGATATTTTTTTGTTTATCATCAGATAGAGTGGGAGGAAGAGAGAGGGGGAGAGAAAGGGAGAGAGAGAGTGAAACATCAATGTGAGAGAGATACACCGACTGGTTGCGTCCGCACGACCCGACCAGGGCTGGGGACGAACTGCAACCGAGGTACATGCCCTTGAGTGGAATCAAACCCAAGACTCATTAGTCTGCTGGCTGATGCTCTAACCTCTGAGCCAAACCGGCCAGGGCAAAAACTGAAATTTTAAATGACCTATGTATTATGCTATCCTGAATGTCACTAATACCTTCTGTAGCTAAGTTAGTTTATGAAGCTTTAAAAATATTTTCTGTCTTTTGCCAGAAAAAAACAAAACAAAAAACGGAGGGAAGGATAAGTATACATATCTGTATTAATTAGGAATACATTTTCAACTAAGCTATGGAAGAAACATTTTTCTCAGTTTCCTTCCCTGTAATAATTAGTCATCATAATCTTGCCTATTAAAAGGCTGACTATAAACAGCTATTGATGGTGTTATAAAATAATCTGCTTAGAAGTTTTACATGGCTAAGTTGAACTTACTTTTTAACTTGCATGTTTCTTGGCTGTCTGTGGTAAACAGGGAAGTGGCTATGGATCAACGACAACCCCGTCTCCTTTGTCAACTGGAACACAGGAGAACCCTCTGGTGAACGAAATGACTGTGTAGCTTTAGTTGCATCTTCTGGATTTTGGAGTAATATTCACTGTTCTTCCTACAAAGGATTTATTTGTAAAAGACCAAAAAGTAAGAATTTGCCCTATGGTACATATGGTCACAGGCCACCCTTGCTTTCTAATACTCAGATGTCCGGTGTGGGATTATCCTGTGATGCCAGTTTCCTGGCAAACTCTCTCCCACCTCCCGAGCAAGTGAAAACTCCAGTCCACCCTGGTGCTCAGCCGCTGTCTGCAGCTCTGAGTGAGCAAAAACCACTCCCTGCCTGCTTGGCTGACATAATGAATTTGATTTATCAACCCATTTGTAATGGGATATGATTTGTGAAATTGCAAGCAGTTCGGAGAGCCAGCCTAGAAAGCGTCATGGCGTGGGAAGAAAAAGGGTGAAACCGTCTCCTTGGCAAACCAGAAGGGGCAAGGTTCTGGGAGGGAATCAGAATTTCTAACAGATCGTGTAAGACTAAATCATGTCAGATTTAAGGAAAAAATCTAGTAGGACCAATTAAGCCTCCTACTGAGACTGAGTGGCAGACCATGGGAGGACAGGAATTAATAATAGTGTTATTTACTCATGGTGTGGTACTATCTGGACTTTAATAATGTTTTTGTGCCATTCCTCTACACATAATATCCTTTCTAACAGATAACATTGTTAATTGCATAATAGATTTAAGTAAATGAATTAGATAAATTAATACTCCATCCCCTGAGATTTTATTATTTTAGAATTTTGTATTTCTTCAGTCTTTTAAAACTCTCTTCTAAGAGACTATACACCTGTAGGTGCAATGTTGGGGCCTTATTTCACTTCCATTCAAATGCCTGTAATATCTAAGGATTCCATGGGCCAGTTTCAAGATTACTAGCCTAGAATACATTATTTATGGGTAGATTGGGTAGATTTTTGAGGGTAGATTTTTGAATATCTGTGCCCCAAATGCAAATTGGAGGACTGTCCAGGGATGGGCAAAAATAGGTTTACAGTTGTGATTATGTGAAAGTTTATTCTTGTAATATTATTTGTTAATTGTTGCATTCTTTATTTGTATCAGAGCTATAAAGCTACTTTTGTCCGTGCCTGTATTTTCAGATCTTTCAATATATTCAGACTCACCATATAGCTGTAGGATACTGTTATAGAATATATATAGATAGATCTAGATAGATCTATTTGTATATCTGAATATCAGATCTATCTAATATATATATTTGTATATATATATACACACATCATAATCCAAACATGGAGGATTTTATGTATCTGTGAACCAAATAATATTATCTATATGCAATTATTATGGATTTTTATAAGTATTTAACAAATTTCTTATTTTACAAACAGTTGTTGATGCTGAGCCTACCCGAACAGCAATGACAGAAAAAGGTAAGACCATTATGAAATTTCAAGTTTCTTATTAGTAACGTATCGATATCATTTGTTTAAAAGCCCATGATAGCCCCTTCCGACACCCCCTGCACTCTCAGTAGAACTGCTCGAGCGACACGAGCCTTTGTCCTTATGTCCTCGGCCTCCCTTGACTGCTGCTCTGGAAAAGCAGGCTTTGGAGTCGGTGGTGGTTCTACCACTGATGTTTTTAAAGACACTGATTTCTCTGTTACGAAGAGTTGCCTTAGAAGAACCCATAGAAGAAATTTCTCTCAGTAATCCCTATGGTTTTCTTTTTTCTTTTCTTTTCTTTTCTTTTCTTTTCTTTTCTTTTCTTTTCTTTTCTTTTCTTTTCTTTTCTTTTCTTTTCTTTTTTAAGCAATGGCTTTAATTTTTATTTTATACATAACTTGAATTAGGTAGCATCTTATTTCACTCAGTTGGCTTGTCGCTAGAAACTCAGTGCAATTTACGGCTTGTTGTAGCCCTGTTATTAACCTCATGAGTGTTATTTGTGAACTAATTACATTCATGAGCTCAAATTTCTACTACTCTCATTTTATTTTCCCCCTAATATTTTCATTTGCTTTTTATTGTCATCATCATTATTATAACTATTCTATGTATCTTCATATAATGTATTTGTAAGCAGCCTTAAATTATTTTGAAACAGGCATAAGTACTTTAAAACATTGATTATTTATGTCGCAGCATGCTACACAGATAAATGAAATATTCTTGCAACTGAGTTATAAACTCAGCATCTAAAATAATCCTCTATTCTGTTTTCATGTCCTGCGTTTCTGTTTGACAAATACCAGTGGAAACAATATTTATGCATTTTAGTTTTTCAAGCAAGGAACTCATATTGTTCTCTAGAGCATTCTCCCCTCTGCCTCCCTCCACCTTTTCCTAACGGTTTTATTTCTTTCCAGCCGACCCAAGGAAGATGGAGCCTTCCAAGCCGTCTTCCCGAGTGGCAGGAGTCGTCGTGGTCGTGATCCTGTTGATTGCACTGGGTGTTGGCCTCGCCGCGTATTTGTTTTATAAGAAGAGGCGCGTGCACTTGCCACCTCAGGAGAACACTTTTGAAAACACCCTCTATTTTAACAGTAGATCAAGTGCAGGGACCGGTGATACAAAAGATCTCGTGGGTAACATTGAACAGAATGAACATGCAGTCATCTAGAAACACCATGTGATTTAGATATATTTGAATTTCGTAGGCTTGTAACTGAAATGTTAAGGTCTTTAATTCAATCTGATTATTTTGTTTAAAATTAGGACTGTGTTGCACTGGTCTGTCCTTTTTCTTTGCCTGATTGCAGAAATAATTACTCATTTTCTAACCTAGCAAGATATTTTCATCAAAGAGAGATACTATTGACTACCGCTCTGAAAAAGATCTTAGGTGAATACATAGCACAATAATGCTAATATTTAAGCATCATTGGTGTGTAGCTATTGTCAACTGCATGCAGATTATAAGAATTCCAGGTACAACCGACTAAGCTTCTTGAAATAGTTTAAGGAGCCCCTAAAGAAATGTTACCTATGGAATAATAATTCAGTAATTAGAAGACCATTTTAAAAATTAAGTACAATAACCCCAGATGGCATAAAAATTTAGTCACTTTTTTTTTCAACCAATCTTAATTTTCACTGAAATTACCTAGAATTATATTTGTACATATGCAGAAAGAATAAGACAGCTGAGAATGTTGTTTTCTCCAAGCAGGGTTTTGAGGCTGAATAGTGTAAAGGTGTTCTTTGTCCTGTTATATGTATATCAGGAATGCAAAGATGTGAAGTAAAAATGTAAATTTGCATAACTGGATGTACTTAGATAATGTGAAATAAACATCAAAGACAAGGTCTATTTTTAAAGATTTGTATTTTGGTAAGTGTAAATGTTTTTAAACGAGATTTATTTACCCGTCTACTTTCTATTTAAGTTTACTCTTAAAATAAACAATCATATTAGTAGAGGAATTCTTTAAATTAAACTCTTAATCTCTTTGGGACAGATAGGTTGCTAAAACACTGAGTGTAAAATGAACTTTGCCGTAATGACTTGCACACTTCCCCCAGATCTGCCCTTAGAACATTGACCCAGCTCAGAATTCAACACTCAAAAGCGCTGATATTGAAAATTAGAGCTCTAAATCTTTTATTCTCACTTTAACAAATTACTTTTGCTTAAGACGTTGCCTGATTTAAAGTCTCATGTACTTTGGTGAAATATACTGGAGGTTTCATATCTCACACATGTGCCTCGCTGCAGCTCGTCCTTGCCTTCTTTCCCAAGGGGCTGCTTTATCTGTCTGCCTGTCTGTCTGTCTACCTATCACCTGTATCATCTATCTACCGATCAATTTATTTTAAAGAATTGGCTCGTGCTATTGTGGGGACTTGGTGAATCCAAAATGCACAGGAGAGGCCAGTAGGCTGAAGACTCAGAGCAGAGCTGCCGCTGGAACCCGAAAGCTGCTGCGGGCCCTGGTTCTGTTCCGGCCTTCAGCTGGTTCGAGGAGGCCCCCACCCTCTGCAGGGCGATCTGCTTTCCTCAGGGCCGCTGATCTAAATGTTACTCTCATCCCAGAAAAGACCACCTTCAGAAAACCATCGAGAATAATGCTTGACCAAATATCCGGGCACTATGGCTCAATCAAGTTTACATATGAAATTAAGTATCACATGCCTTTATATAGCAATGGTTTTGGTGTTATTATTATTATTATTTTAATACTTATTGTTGAAAGTATTACAGATGTCCCTCCTCCTCCCCCCACTGACCCCCTCCTCCTCCCTGCTTTCACCCCCTCCTGCTTTTTCCACACTTACTGTTGTCTGTGTCCATTGGTTGTGTATATATGCATAGAAGTTCTTTGGTTTATCTTTTTTTACCCTTCCACCCTCCTTCCCTCTGAGGTTTGTCAGTCTGATCCCTACTGCTATGTCTCTGGATCTATTTTGATCATCAGTTTATTTTGCTCATTATGTTCCATAAATAAGTGAGATCAAGTGGTACTTCTCTTTCTCTGACTGGCTTATTTCGCTCAGCATAATACTCTCCAGGTCCCTCTGTGTCATCTCAAAGGGTAAGAGATCTTTCTTTTTTTACAGCTGCATAGTATTCCATTGTGTAAATGTACCACAGCTTTTTATAGGTTTCTCTCTTTTTTTTTTGGTACGTGCCCCTAGTGGGAACTGAACCCGAGACTCTCTGGTCCGCAGGTCGACGCTCCAGCCGCTGAGCCAAACCGGCCAGGGTGTCCACAGCTTTTTTATTCATCCGTCTACTGATGGGCACTTGGGCTGTTTCCAGATCTTAGCTATTGTAATTTTGTTATAGAGGAAACAGAAGGATAATGTATTCTTTAGCGTGACTGATCAAACATTTTAAACATCTTTGATAGTTTAGAAAAGGTCCTTTTAACTGTAGGGCTTAGTGTAAATTTTTAGGCTTATTGTGAAATACAGAAAAACCTCTATTGAATCTCATTCATATACAAGTACTGACATTTCAGGGCACTGGTTTTGAGGTTTTATTTGTACATGCAATGAATAATCTTAAATGCCATTGAATTTGATGATACTGATCAGTTTGTTGACATTGTTTTCATAATGGAATATTACAATTTTCTGATGAGGTTGGTATTTTGTGTCAAATCAGTTAAAATACTAGTATTTTTTCTAGTGTGTTCATATGATTCACTTGTCTTCATTCTCTTCATTAACTAAGTTATAATATAACCTAAGAGTCTCTTCACTGCTTCTCAAAAATTGACACTGTTGAAAAGGCTCCCTGAATTGGCTGGAGATCCTGGCTGTACCGTGGGGGCTTTAAAATATTCAAGTTATTCATGGCAGCTCTGCACGATTAGGTTTGGCAAAGATTATTGATCTCATTCAACTAGCTCTGCGGGTTGAGTGAAAACCTTTCCTATCACAGCTTCCTCCTACGGGTCCGATTCCAGCTCCCGTACACAGAGTTCTCTAGGAGATTTTAAGAACTGTGCAGAGGGGCCAGGCTCTCTTTTCTTCTGTTGACTTTTCTTTTCTTTTTTTCCTTTAAGGGCAAGAGAGTTCAAGCCTCTCTGGGCTTGCTACTGATTTGGGGTTTTGGCATAGATTCCTCAAATTTTGATGAGGAACAAGAGCTTATTCAAAATACAGTCTTTGGGGCCCATGCTTCTGATTCTGATTAAGTAGATTCTGATTCTGGGTCAGAGTCCTGGAATCTGTATTTCAACAAGCAGCCGAGGAGAGTCTGAGGCCGCCAGGCTCTGACTTTGATGAGCACTCGATTCTGGAATCGGTTTGCGCCGAGATGGCATTCCCCAAGCTGCTGGAAATCTTGCATAATCCACGGGGCAAAAGCAGTGCAGCCTGGCAGCATGGGAGTTAACGAGAGCCGCGGTCCCTCCATTCTGTCTGGTAATTAACCGGAAACCCTAGATACTAAAATCCACTTCTGTACTTCTTTTCCTGGACTCCCTTAGATTCTGTTGTGGACTGAATATTTGTGACCTTCCCAAAAATGTGTGTGTTGAGATCTAACTGCCAAAGTGACAGTGCTGGCAGGTGGGGCCTTTGGGAGGTAGTCAGGTCGTGACAATAAAACCGTCATGAATGGGATTAGAGTCCTTATAAAAAACACCTCGAAGAACTCCTTCGCCCCTTCCGTCCTGTGAGGACACAGGGAGAAGACAGCTCTGTGAGCCAGGGAACAGGTCCGCACCAGACACCGAATCAGCTGACTCCTTGATTTGGACGCCCCCCTCCAGAGCTGTGACAAACGGAGTTCTGTTGTTTCCAAGGTCTACGGTATTTCGTTGTAGCAGCCTGAATGGACTAAGACGTTCTCCCGGTGCTGGACTGTGTCCTTATGATCACCATTAATAAGGACGTGTGAGTTGAGGATTTGCTTCTCCCATGTAATCTTAGAATATAAATGTACTCAGGTCAGAAATGATAGGGTCTGGGGCAGAACCCTCGATCTTTGTGGAAAGAACCATTTTCCCGTGCTCTGGGCAGTGACTGAAAGTTGCACATCCCCACGGAGACGCCCATCTCGTAAACATGTCCGTCTCCCTGGGTCGGAGTTGGCTCCTGCTGGAAAATGGAGCAAAGGGAGACCTCCGAATGCTCATGACGGCCCTAACTCCTCATTCAGTTTTATTCTCTTGAGAAGTGAAAGAGCAGAAGAAACCTCATCAGCTTCTTTGAGAAACATTGTAAGAAATACTTCAAAGAGAATGGTCTCTTATTTTCCCTCAGTTTTCTGGAAATCAGAGTCAGTCTTGGCTATAAAGGTAATAGGGAATCTGATGAAGTACCTGTCGAATGCCAGGCACACACTGAAATGAACTCCAGATGATCCCGAAGTGTGTTCCGCTGACTGCCACGTGCCACCCTCGGGGTTTGTTCCAAAACTCACGGGCCCCGGCTCTTGAGCTGGCGGGGACAGAAGAAGGGCAGTTGGAGTTTGCAGTGCAGGAGAAGGGAGGACACAAGATCGATAGCCTCTAGGAACCTACTTCTCGGAACACGACAGTCTGTTCATCTGGCACCGTTCGACTCCCTCAAGGAGAAACCGGGCTACAAGACGGCCAAACTTCCACAGTGTCTACGTGGTTCTTCTTATTGATTTAGGTCTCACAACAAAAAGGCCTGATTTTTCTCTGGGTGTGTCCAGGCTTCTCGTGGGGGCTCAGCTGCCGGGTGTCAGTAGGCGGTAACCAGGATGGACAGCGTATGGATTGTTTTGTCAGAAGAGCCTGTTCCCATGTCCTGTGCACCCTGCCAGCCCCACCTCTGCTGCGACCTCCCCGTGGGGCTGCAGCCCGGCCGACGCTCCTGTGCTGGCCCCAGCTCCTGAGGTGTGTGTGACCCAAAGCAGGTACTGGGGCTCCACAGGGCCACTCCGCACCCAGTGAGGGCCCCAACTCCAAGCCCGCAGAGCACGTTGGGAGCAGACTCAGTTTAGGACCCGCACCCGAGCAGCTGGCACGCTGGAGTCCCCGCCGTCTCCGGCGGCCTCAGCGCCTGGAAGGGCAGAAGCCACAGCTTTCCTCTGGGCGTCCCCTCGAGATGTGTCTAGTCGTCGTGGTTGTTTTGCTTCCTCCTCGTTCGTGTTCAAAAGCCATGTTTCGCCCTGGAAAGTCAGCAGAATCTCGGCACGCCGACGTCGCCACGCAGGCAGACAGGAGCAGGGGCACCGTCCAGGGCAGCCAAGCTGTACCAGGAACCGCTCCGAGGTGGATCTTCGGAGAATCCAAGCCGCTGGGTTCCTTTGGACCATCTTCAACCACGTGTATTCCCCAGTGCCAAGCCTCAGGATATCAAAGAACCACTCACCACACACGCCCTCCCTCGTTAGAAACAGAAGGATTTAGCCGAGAGGGCATCTCAGCCAATACCTATTACATAGGCTGAGACAAAAACCGAAAACAAAACAAGCCTAAAGGCAGTGAGAGTGTATTCTTGGCAGAAACAGCCGCAGTCACTTCTCTAACAATTCTCAGTATCAACCAACCAAAGGAAAATTGACAGCTGCTGTCGACCCGAAAGGAGTCACAGGAAAGACGAAAAAGTGAAAAATATGTTGTTTCAATGACTGTTATAGATACAACACCTGGGTAACTATCAACATCTATCATTCATGCATTTTTGAACTCTGACTTTGTTCTCTTCAACTACTGAATTTCAGTTTCCACTGTATCTGACATTCAAGTGTCAAGCAGTGAAAGGCTGTGAAGAACCAAAACAGAAAATCAACACAATGTAAGCTACAAACTCAAAAGCTGTTGCTGGGACCTAGCCAAGGGCAAGTGGTTACACACACACACACACACACACACAC